GTCATGTGTGCCTCCACTAGGTTTCCAGAAGCCATCCCACTACGGAAGATCACTGCCCCGGTCATCACCAAGGCACTTCTGAAGTTTTTCTCCATGTTTGGTCTACCGAAGGTAGTTCAAACAGACCAAGGTACCAACTTCATGTCTAAAGTGTTTGCCCGGGTACTTGACACTTTAGGTATCAAGCATGTGACATCCAGCCCATATCATCCTGAAAGTCAGGGGGCATTAGAGAGGTTTCACCAGACTATGAAATGCATGTTAAGGATACATTGCCACGAGTCTCATAAAGATTGGGATGACGGTGTTCCTTTTGTGTTATTTGCTGCCCGTGAAGCTGTTCAGGAGTCTCTAGGTTTTAGTCCTGCTGAGCTAGTGTTTGGACATGAGGTCAGAGGTCCTTTAAGAGTTCTTAAAGAGCATTTGATCATGCCAACGAAAAAAGTTTGCAGTATTCCGGAGTATGTCACCAAACTAAGGGATCGTCTACATCGTGCTTGCTCCTTGGCTAGAGAAGCTCTGACCTCTACTCAAGGGAAGATGAAGAAACGCTACGACCAGAAGGCGGTAGAGCGCTTGTTTCAGCCAGGTGACAAGGTGTTGGTTCTACTGCCTGTACCTGGTTCTGCTCTGTCTACTAAATGTTCTGGTCCTTATGTTGTAGATAAAAAGCTCGGTGAAACAAATTACGTCATTCAAACACCTGACCGCAGACGTCCTACCAGAGTGTGTCATATCAACATGCTGAAGGAGTACTGCACCAGGGATGACCAAAATTAATCTTCAAAAGCTCACCAGGTGGAGACAACCGTCTCTCCTATGGCTTCAGTTTCAAGGGTGAGCTCAAATGAGGATGAGTTGGTGATGCGTAGTGCAACACCACAGGGGGCAAGACTAAGCAATACTGAGGTATTGGCTGATTTGCCCAATTACTTGTCTCATCTTCCTGATAACCCTATCGTCTATTCCTTGACCTCGGAGTGAAACGTCATGGGGTTAAGGGATAGTGGATAGGAGAATTCAAAAGGATTTAGGAGAAGAGACTGCGGCACTTTAGAGAATCCGACTGCACTTTCACTATCCGACGTGTTTATGATGCGCCAGCGGAGGTCATAAATGTGCGCCTGCTGCTGTGGGGAAACTATGGAAACTACAGTTTTCTATACAGCGGACTACAACATGGATGTTTAATAAGAACGAGGGACTACTGTAAACTCATCTAGAGACTCTGCACCGTGCTCTGGGGCCTCATTTATAAAGGGATATACGCTCAAAAAATGGCGTACGCCAGTTTCTACGCAATGTTTGCGATTTATAAAATACTAACTTGACGGGAAAATGTGCGGTCCTCCACGCAAACTCTAACCCATGCGTACCAAGCCCCCAGGAAGTGCGCCGGACTCTGATGAAAATATTCGTGCTGGCCAAACGGCGGTACTACACTTCCTTTTGGTTGCCAGGCCCGGAAACACTTTTTCCCATTGACTTACATGGGGAAAGAGTGGTCTGTAAATCGTTGGATAATTTTTTTTAAACTAAATAAACTACCCAGTATGAACACTTGTATAGCCCTTATTAAAAACATTCGTTCCTCAAGTTGTAAAATGTGCTAATAACGTTATTCTGAGAGTTATTTCCCTCTGCATTATGAACGCGCATCTAACCCACGGGACCGCGCCGCCCGGCACGTTCATGTTACGTGTTCAGCACTACATGCGTTTATCTTTACCCATGGATGCACAATAAGAACGGACCCATATCGCCTTACTGCCAGCCCACGGAGCTGTAATAATGGATATATTGCACATGTTTGCTGTAATTCATCATTTGTAAAATATTATACTACATGGGCTGTATGATTAAATCTTGTACCGTAAATGTTGTATTAAATAAAGTTAATATTACCGACGTAGATTAACGTCCCTGTAGCTTCTTATTGCACTAAGAAGCTTATTGCACTGTGTATATATATATATATATATATATATACACAGCAATAATTCTTTCCTGCTAAATGAAGCTCTGTTGCTTGGATATCACTAGATCCTGTTACAGCGTAATATAAAAGTACATAACGATTGATGTGTAAATTAGCATAATTACTAGCTAACCGCTAACTGCCGCCTCGTTAATATCAAATCTATCATAACAAACATTACCATGCTGTCATGAACGTGCGGTGCTGTTACGTGTACGCAAATTGACGTGCTTGATGTGAACGAGCATTTTGGGGGGCATGGTTAAAGTTGCGCATGCGCTATGAGCGCACATACGGGTACTTCTCAGGCATGCCGGGTAATCTGTGACGTTTCGCTCTCTCAAAAGTTGGGCCATTTTATCATCATGCGCGAATGAGCAACTCTCACAGGAATTAATGAGGCCCCGCCTCCCACGCTGTATCCAGTTCTTATTATACATCCATGATGCGTACGCACTAAGCACACAAACGGGAGAGACGAGAAACTGCGACACCGTTGGCAGAAGAAAGAATGGAGAGAAATATGTGGAAATAATACCATAAATAAAATGTTACCTCATTTATCAAATATGAAGAATTCCTTTTCAAACATTGATTAAAGCCAATCTTAAAATGATTAAACAAACGCCTGTTTGAGACTCCTCAGTGCACACAAAAACATAACTTGGAGAAATAAATAAATACGGATGCTATTTAAAACCACCTCGAATATGTTGTGTTAATGTTATGAAATGTTTTCTCATAAATGATGCGGTAAGCAGGGGGACAGAATTACGTCTAAACTGACGCCGTTTTGCTTTTCTATAGGTTGTAGATACGAGCATGGTTCTATCACGTTTAATCGTGTTTTATGCCGTTTGCCAAGACTTGATAAGTCGCTCGTAAAACACAGGAGTTATGGAAACTAAGAACACCATATGTGGTAAATTGTACAGCTAATATAACACAACCCATTAGTTGTATTTCCTTTAACTGGTGGATTATGGATATATAGTTGCTGATCGACAGCTGGAACACAAACCACCAAATAAAACAAAAATAATTCAGATCCAGTCGTCATGAGGGAGGGATTCCCCCATCATTTCTTACAGTTTCTCATCAAGGGGCTCCTGTCCCCGGGACAAACACACTGCCTGAGGAAGGTTATGTGTATTTGTTTTGTCATTAACTTTTTTCGGACCACTTATTTATTTATTTTGGTGACGATCCGACCTCCATGCTGCTACTCTGGTTCAAACTGCATCCACCAAACAATATGATTTATCTCGACCTCCCCACAATAACCAAAATCTGACACGGTGTGAGATGTCTTTTTTAGCTGTTCTATCGTAATTTCCTGCGATCTTCTTCATGCAGTCAGTCAAAATGAATGAATGAATGGGCGTTTCTTTGACTATGTATAGGCAAATATGGGCGTTACGAGTCGATTGTGATTTATCAAGGGAAACAGGCGTAGGGAGTGCCGTACGCACTTCCCTCGCCGGTACGCAATGTTTTGTGAATCGGAAAATGGCGGAACATTTATGTACCTATTTTTGTGCTTTGTACTACGTAAGCAACCTTCCTACGTCAATCCTACGCAAGGCGTTATAAATGAGGCCCCTGATGCTGTTGTTTTATGCTTTATGAACGTGGACAACAGAGAAACATATTCTTCATGACCAAAGTTGGAATTGAAATAAAAAAGGAAAGTGAAACTTATGCTCGTCACCCTCTCCCTCCGGTTCACATTAATACAAATGATCCCAATACGTATGACTGTATGAAAAGATCTTAAAATCAATACAAATGTATTTATTATAAACGTTAGTCCTTAACATCTATCACTGTGTATATCACCATTCAAACATCTTTTAAAAGTTGAACAAACCCCACACAGCTCAGTAAAGACTGTGAAATGTTGACTTTATTTGATCATTTCAGTAAAAACTAACGTTCATATTTCTCTTTTTGATTATAATACTGATGAATGTTCAAAACAAAGCACTTTGGCAACTTACCACATACGTTTTAAAATGCTTAATAAGCACCGTAACTTTCATGATATCATTTCTCGTTCATAATCGGTTGTTTCCGTGAACGGCCGACTGTTGTGTGACGGCAAATGCTGCGGCCGCAAGGCATTGTGGGGCAGCATTTTCTCCTCTCCTTTAGGTTAGGGAGTTCCAGTGGTTCCTAGGCTAAAGGAGGTTATAAAGGAAGTTTGAAACCTCCTTTCCTTTTAATTTAGAGAATTCGAACGGCACTTATCATGGCTGCCACTGAGGGACTTCCGGGTCATTTCACTCCGTTAGGAAGGTTCCTGAGCTAAATGGACTATTCGAATGCAACCCCTGTCTTCTGCACAGCTAATCAGCAGCTGATCAGGACCTGCCTGTGCACCAGAGTCTGATGGCTGATTGGATCCTCTCACCCTCAGCTGGCCTATCAGCAGCCAGGGCCGACCATAAAGGAGGCACCCAGGAAGTCTTCTCGCTCTCTCACTCTGGGTTGATTGCTGATGGAGGAGCATGCAATTGACTACCTTGTAACGACAATATTCCTCTTTGTTTTGTATGACCTATATTGAAAGTGTGTGTGTTGAGAGGTGGAGGAGTTAGGTAAGTCTGGGGTACCCTGTACACTTCTCATCACGTAGATAACTAATGTTAAGACACACTAGGTTAGCGGATTGTTGCCACCCCTGTATTCTGTTTTGTCCAATTCTGAGTAGTTTAGTTAGTGAGGGTTTTTGTTTTGGTTTCAAAGGATAGACGTAGAGATAGGCCTGGTTTTGTTATGCTTGTTTCTTTTGTTTGGCACAATCCTTCGACTCCTCCTCCTCACACACAGAGTATTTTCTGTTCAGTTTTCTAGGTTGACAAAAATAAACCTTTTGTCAAACCTTTACGCTGACTCTCATATTATTGGTTGTGTGTTAATGTCTCCAGGTCCCCTAGACCTTAGTGGGGACGTAACAATATCCCTTAGTGTTCAGAGGGCACTTAATAATCAGATCAGCAACACATAAAACTGTGGCAGATTTAATTTAATGGTAATGTTGGAGTATGAGGTGATATTTAATATTATGGCATTTTATTTACATGTTTTAGTAAATAAATACACCAGTAAATCAAATAACAAAATCTGAAAAACATGGATCATAACACACACAGTCCATCAGGAAGTGGTCGCTCTCTCGTCCCTCCTCCAGGCTCTGTACAGTTTGATGCTCAGGCTGGGGAGGTTGTACAGCTCCTCCAGATTGAAGCGTTGCCGAAAGCGGTCGACGAAGCGGTTCTCTTTGTCCAGACGAAATCTCATGGCCCAGAGGATCTGTGTGTTTTCCTGGCACAGGTAATCAAAGGTATCCATCAGCTCCTCCAGGTAAGGGTGGGAATACACCACGTCGGCTGCCAGGATGTAATCGAAACAATGTGTGGCACGTGGGAAACGCTGCTCCACCTCCTGACCCCAGAAGAGCTCTGTGACCTGGAAACAGAGCAGACTTGATTTATATGGTATTTAACAGGTTTCCCTTTCTATACTGAAAAAGTGCACTCTTAGGCTGCTTTTCATATTATTCATTTCGGGTTAGCTACACAATTTCTGATGGCTCTTTTGTCAACTAAACATTGGCTGGATATTCAAAATATATTGAATATGTCATAAAACCGACAATATGATGTCTGAACAGGTAACCTACCAGCGGAATGTACTTGCATCGGCCCTTAGTGTTGCGCATGACATTGTACTGGAGGTTTCCCAAAACATCGGGCAGGTCCGTGGAAGTCAACTTAGCACCTGAACAGACAGAGCAGCTGAGCGTTGAAAGAAATAAATACAAAAAGCAGAAGTGGTAAAAAATGTTTTAAAAACTAAGTCAATGGAGTGTTTTGTTTCCGTACCCAACAGGCTGGACACGATGGAGACGAGCCCGGTTCCTGCACCGAGTTCAATCACATTTTTATCCATCATGTTGTGTTCATCACGATTGGTCTCCAAGAAATGGCACAACACCATCGCCTGTTGTTGGGAACACATGTTCTTAGTTCACTGGCAGGGCTCAAAGTAAATGACAGCTACAGCAGCTCAATATTTGGGATAATGTATACATTCGGGCGTACCGAGGGCCAGAGAACAGCTCCATAGAGGTCTGTGGACTCTTTGATACGGATCTCCAGATCAGAGAAGATGTATCCCTCCCAGGGTTCAGGGCCCAGGATGGAGGGGTGGAAACTCCGAGACATTATGGCTTTGGCTAGCTCTGCATCCACAGCAGCATCTGATCAGGCACCCACGGGAGAGACGTGCAGATAAGAAACATGTTTACACAGAGTTCACAACTTGTGACCCTGTGAGTGGAAGCAGAATCTAAAAATAGACAAATACATATTTTTCACAGCAGACATTTTGACGTCATAGAGATACACATGTGTAATAAATCACACTGGCATCATTTGTAATTAAATGGTGGTGAGTTATTAGTTCCACCTGTGCTTTCCTGCTGCAAGAAGTCTACATTTCTGCTGATGAAAGTGAAAGATTGAAGTGTTTGCAGTTTATTCCCATCTGTTGAGCACCACTCTTCGTTGTCACCTCTGTTTCCCTGTCTTTTATGTAACATTTTTCAGATTTCTTGCCAGGTTTTAAAGTGGTACTGATCCAACACCTCAACTTATTTGCTACTCAGTTTTTTGTTTTACTATTTCTCACCTGTGAAACTGCATTGGTACTTCTGATATAAGGAGTTCAATTGAATTCCTCGTGAATTAAAACTGTGTGACACCAAAGACCAACTGACCAAAAATCAGTCGATGCCTGAACTTTCTTTATGTGAATACATTTAGGTACTGCAATAGTTTCAAGTAAAAGTGTTCAAAGTGAGGGCTGTGGATCACCCAGATTAACAGTGTCAGTGTATCTGGAAAGACATTTGAATTTTTTTAATAGACATTTTTTAGGGGATAACACGAAGCCTCCAGAGTGTGAGTGCAGTAGGTGTTTCCCTTATCTTGTCCTCGACCTGCAACACTTAAAAGTGGCACTGAAATACTCCAGACTTAAATCGAGCAGATGAGTAATCGTGTTGTTTCACTCATATCACATTACAGATTTGATTCTCTGCTCTATAAATGAATCACATGAAGTCCTATAATACAACATAATGCCAGTGTGTCAGACTCATGCTATGTGTGTCAGTCATAACAGTTACTCCGAGCGCACAACTTCAGTTATGTCATACTTTAGCCAAAAGGTCGGGGGAGCCCACAGAGGAACAATTCAAAGGTCGGAAATGCCCTGGAGCTCAGTTTATCGCTCACTATATAAATATAACTTTTATATTTGTTGTTACCAGCAGAGATGCAGATGGTTATATGGAATACATATTTCAACACATTCACAGGTCTCACAAGCTCTGAAATTAGATTGATTTTCAGATGATTTAAATTGAACTTGGCATGCAAGTAAAAATAACTTGCCCTGAGATTATGAACTTGTTCCACAAAAAGTAAAACCTGTGCCAAAGTGCCAGCAGTAACCAAATGCACTGACAATTCTTCAGATTTATGTTGTGTTACTCCAAAGTCTCACCTTCTTCTTTGGTCTTTGAGTCCTCCTTCCTGGCATTAGACTGTTGAGTGTCCATGCTTAAAGTAGTCCAAGCAGGAGGGAAGGAATGCCCCACACAGAAATTCTTTAACAGCAACTATTGTTTTTGTCTGTAGTCTTGGATTAAGTCCCTAGCGTTTGGGTAAATATAGATCCAGATAAGTTACACAGAAATACAGTGTTTCCAAACTACTTGTCTCCACCCGGCATTTCTAGCCCTCTGTGGGCATGCTTAGACCTTCTCTGATGCAGCATGCCTGACAGACAGAGGCAGCTGCTCTGTCCGGCTAATGGACCGGAGCAAGGGACCAAAGGGGTGGGGGTCATGTTTAAATAAAGACCACAAAAAAAACCCAGTTTAACAAAAAGTTAAAATATACTTGGTGCACTTATTGAAAAACTTAAGAGTGCCTGAAGGAAATGTAAGCGATGTGAAGACTTGCACCTGTCTCAATCATAAATTGGCACGACAAATGGCTGAATTCTGAGCCAAACTGACATCTACTGTGGAAATACTTCAACTACAGACACCTTTAACTCAAAGATTTAATGCCAAATATTCAAATTACAACAGGTAACCTATTTTCAGTCACATCAACAGTTTACAAAATACATATTCTTAATACAGAGAAAGCTCAATTCATTACTGTTCATGATTCATTATTTACCTTTATAAATATCACATTTTGTAATGAATGACATATTCCCCATTGCCTTTTTGAAGTTTGCCCCTCACGATTTAGTCCCCCTTCTCTTTCCTCTCGTGCTTCCTCTCCCCCTCGTGCTTTTTGCTCCACGGCCTCGTCGGCCGCCATCAAACACAGATCGGGCTGTAACCATAGCAACTTCACCGCCACCATCATCGCTGTCCTCCCCAGAGCTGCTGTTGCTGCTGGCTCTCTGAGGTAAAGTGTTAGTAGGCTGGGGGACGGCCTTCACTGGCAGAGACTCCTGTCTGCTGCTACTCACATCCTTCAGAGATGGAGGAGGAGGAGGAGATTCAACAACTTCCTCCGACCCCAGAAACCCTCCTCCGGACACGGACCTCCCCACTTCTCTCTCTCCTCCTCCTACTTTCTTCGGACTCTTGCTTGGTGCCTTCCCTTTCTTAGATTTTGATGGGGATGGGGATGGCAGGTCCTCCTCACTGTCCTCTCCCTCGTCTCCCCCCTCCCTCTCCTTCCTCTTCATGCAGGTGACAGCTCTGCGGAGCCGCTGGCTGCGGATCGCCTGCTTCTCCTGTTGCTCCAAGCGGAAGAACGAGTCGATCCGCAGCTGAGTCTAAACCAGAACAGGGATAAAGTGTTAATGATGTAGGAACGATTAAGATGTTTCTGCTTTGCATAAGTGTGCATTGTACTACTTCCTCATTTGCAACTGGATGTTGAAACCATTTTTCTATAACTTTTAGTTGAAGGATATGAGTATGATTTGTTGATGGTGGTTTTAAACACAACATTCAAAGCTGTCTCTCTCCTCCACAGCTCAACAAGGGTAACGGTGCTCCCCGAACTCGAAAAAGTTGATGATTCTTAAATCTATTTTAGCAAAAGTACTCCTGGTTACCTGCTGGGTGTTCAGCTGCTTTATCACAGGCTGAAGAGTGTCCTCTGTCCTCCGACTGCTCCAGCCAAAACGATTCAGACAGAATGTAAAAGACTGGTTAGGGAAACTGCATAAATATAATAAATAAGGACGCCCACACACACACAGACACAGAGAGAAAGGATATTCTTTGATCATGTCGAGTTGTGGCCGCCCCCAGCTGAAGAAGCTGTCGGCCTGGTCCACAGCAGGCTGCAGGTAGGCCTGAGCCACCGCAGGGTTTGGAAACCCAGGATGGAGTTTCAAGGTTCTCAATTTCTTCTTCACCTTAGTGTCCCGAGGATCAGAAGACAGACGCTTGTTCTGCTGGGCCGCTGACCACCATTCCCTTCAGAAAACAAACAATAACCAGGTGATTCAATCTTTAAACATGCAACATTTTGTTCAAAAACTTGATATTGTTTTAATCATAACACATGTTTTCTGTCATACCATCAGTTAATGAAAATGTTTGAGCCACAGACCCATTTTTTAATTAAGGAAATAATCAAGATAATATTGTATTTGAAAGATTTTGGCCAGGATAGTTACTGTCTAACAAATTCCATATTTACACAGGTAAATATAAAACTACTGGAGCCTCAAACATGTCATAAAGAGATGAATAAATAAGCCATACATTTATTTACAGTCACAGTAGATTGAGATTGGAGGGATTAAGAGTAAAAGAAAAAGATGTCAGGATGATCAAGATAGATAGAAAGATGAATAAGCAGACTGCACATGCATACCATAAAATACATCAAGATCAAAACCTCTTTAACTAACCTTAACTGTGTGAGTGGCTCCAAGCCCGGCCCTGTGAACTCGTTCAGTAACTCCATGCCCGTCACATACCCGACCCCCGGCAGACCCTCTGTGTAGTCGCTGCCCAGCAGGTAGGCCAGGTTTATCAGTTTAGTCCTGTCCAGACCTGAGAGGGAGACAGAGAGGGAGACAGAAACCACATTATCATTTACAACTTAAAATGAAAGAGTTCAAGTCATTGGAACAATGTAAACAGTGTCGAAATCTGTCCAAAAATATATAAAAGTGTTCTGAATGTATTTAGCATCAGTAATCAAATAAAAAAAGGGAATATTGCTCTCATATGATCTTATAGACTATACATTGAAACTAAGTCCGGCTTGTACTGTGAGCCGTAGGGTCGCCGGTTCAATTTCCCGAACAGACCTAAATATGGAGTGTGGACTTGGAGAGGTCCCAGTTCACCTCCTGGGCCCTGCCGTGGTGACCCTTCCCCCCCACCACCAATTGCTCCCCGGGCGCTGTACACTGCTCCTACTACTAGGATGGGTTAAACTCAGAGGTGTGCGCTGTGTGCATATGTGTGAGAATTAAAGAAGGCTTCATCCTCCGATTCTATCCATCTATCTAAGACCAGTTTAACAGTTAACAAAAAAAAGAGGACAAAAGGAAATCTTTTCTTAAACTTGTTAAAAAATTGCAAACTATTAAAAACATGTGATTGAAAGCACTGACCCAGTTGGTTCTGCAGGTCACTGTATTGGAAGTGTTCAACATATTTGTCCTGGTTGAAGAAGTTCCTGTAGACGTGTCTCCCTCCAAACAGCCACACGTCGGAGTCGTCTGTGATGGTCCCGTTAGTGTGGTCAGCGCGGTCCAGTGCCGCACACTGAGCCTCGGCCTCCATCGGAGCCACCAGGTACGGCACGCCAAACAGCCGCAGCAGCTCCTGGAACCAGAGAGGGAAACATATTATTCACAAAAAAGTATTTATCAAGACACAATGTCCAAAACTGTTGTTGGTTCATACTGAAACTTCTGATAACACTGAAACTTTTTGCCAGGATTTAAATGATCTTTTGCACTGCACTCTGACCGACAACCTTTTTATAATGTGCGAGTATCTGTAGTTATCTAAGAAATACATTGTCTCTTAGCAGCATTATCCAAACAGCCAGTGAGTTTAATAAAGAACTGGCCATTTAGGGTTTTAAATTACATGGGGATTTAAAAAAAGAGAAGATGCTGACAGTGTGTGACATCTGAGAGTGTGAGTGAGTTGACAGACACATTCACACACTAACACATACACTTGCATCAAAGATTGTAAAGTAATACTCTCTGCACATCTTTGGCAGAGGCGCCACAGATACATGTGTCCCACTGTTGGCCTTACGCCTTCTGTAGGCGTCTTCTCTCTATTGCCATATCTCAGGTGTGAGGGTGGAGTGCTTGTGTGGTTAAGTCTGTAAGTGCTGTCTTTGGTTCACCTGGCTCTCAAGCTGCATCTGCCCGGTGACTGTGTTGGCCATCCTCTCCTGCTGCTGTTTCAGCTCCCTCAGGCTGCTCTGCTCCACCTGCAGAGAGCTCTCCAGAGCCTGCAGCTCTTCCTGCAGAAAACACACACACACACACACACACACACCTTTAGCCGTGCCTCATACACATCACATCACTGAATGAATACTCACCCTAAAGCACAGCTGCCAAATTCAACCACATCACTCAAAAAACATCTAGATTTCTGCTTTTCCATGCTGCAGCCCCATGCAGTTTGCATGAACAGACACCTCTGCTATACTGCAGATACAGAAAGTGTTCTTGCCGGTGATAGGCTTAATCAGCGTTGTGTGAATGTGTTTGGCATGGCTTGAATGTAAAAGCCATTCTTATGCATTTAAAGCCCTGCATTACAGCTTCGAGGGAATGGCCAGTCGAAAGAAAATGGGGAAGCGTTATGTAGAGGGGGGGTTAATTATGCATTCACTTTAAAATAGGTATTAACATTGAGGTCAAATTCTCGCAGGCAGGAATGCTTACCACATCAAAGTGTTCCCATTCATTGACCGCTGGAGTTGAGCTGGATTCTGTCTCTGTGCCCTCCTCTAACTCTTCCTCTTCACTCTGTATTTTCCTCTCTTCTTCTTCCTCTACTTGTAAAGCAGCAGCTGGAACCTCTGTCAAACCTTTCTTGGACTCTTCTTCTTGCTCGGCCTTATTGACCTCATCCGGAGGTCCTTTGTCTCCAGTAATCACAAGTGAATCATCTGTTTCCTCCTCTTCAAATTCTTCATCTGACACCTCGATGAAGCTTTCTGGGAAAACATGAAAAGAGCACTTTTTGTTCATATTTGCCCAATAACACAAAAATGTGGGATCTTAACCCTGACTGTTACTGCACCTTCTGAGTCGCTCTCCTCGCTGCGCTGCAACTTCACATCATCTCCATTCCTCTCCTCTAGAGCTTCTATCACCTTATTGCTCTCCTGCTTTAACAGCACAGGATGTCCCGCCTCCCTCTCTGCACTGAGAGGTTTCACACACAGTGCAGCAGAGGGATTGTTCGATAATGTGATTTGACTGGAAGCAGCAGCACCCTCTGGCTTTGACATCAACCCGTGCTCTGATTCTCTTCCCTCCAGTTCTTCTTGTCCTCTACTGCCAATCTTCATATCCTCTGCCAACTTTCCTTTCTGCGTCTCCCCTTCCGAGCTCAGCCCTGTTTTGTGAGGTTGTTGCAGTGGTGCAAAGTGAACAGCCTTATTTCTTTCCCCAATTACAGCCTCGGTCTCATCTTCAGAACTACTATCAAGCAAAACGTCTTTCACATGTACACTTTGGCCTGTTTTTCCTGGGTTTCCCTTAAAATCGGATGTTCCTTTTGGCAAAGTGTCTGGTTCTTCCTCTGAGCTGCTGATGACCACGTGAGGCGCAGGAGGAGGAACGTTAACCTGCAGTTTGGTGGCCGTGCTGTTGATGAAAGTCCCGTGTCGAGCAAAGCCACCTTCTTCCTCAGCGAGAGCTTGTTGGATTGCGAGCAGGGTCCGGGGGGACACACCCCCTTCCTTCCTGTCTTGGTCCACCTTGTCCTCGTCTGAGCTGTCATCCATTGCACCTTGGATCGCCTTGAGTGTACGAGGTGAGGGTGGGGATGTGTCTCCAAAAGAAGGTTTGGAGACAGAGGGTTTGGAGACAAAGGGTTTGGACACAGAGGGTTTGGAGTCTTCTGAGGCGTGACCCCACCCGTCTGGCCCCTCCTCTGCTACAGGACGCCACAGGGGCTCCGGTCTGTCCACCGCTCGTCTCTTAGAGCCCGTCAGGACGCTGCCGGCCCAGGCTGCAGCTGCAGGGCGGCTCTCAGGGGCGGGTTCTATCTTTTTGGAGCCTATGTGAGCAAAGTGTAAGTGTTTTAAACAAGTCTGCATTTTATGGATCACAAGGACCGATACAGGAAAACATTCCTGCTCACTGCCATAACTCTATATAACAAATCACCTCTGGCTGGCAGATACCTCACTGCTCCATAGCTTCTCTTTGGATAACTGGACTCACTGTACATTTTATTTATAATGTAATATTTCATTCATACACTCTAAATGTAAATAATATCCTGCTTTATATTGTGTCTAAAGCCCTTCAATCGTGTTTTATTATCAGAGTTTATAGATTTTTTATCTTCACGGCCTACTGTATATTTTCTACTTTTTAATGCTGCTTTAATTCAATTTTGAGATGTTTAAATTCTAGTATTGTTCATTTCTACTCTTTAATTTCTACTTATGTGCAATGTCTTGTTGGTTTTTATGCTGCTGCAAAGCAAACATTTCCCAAATTGGGATCAATAAAGTACCTCTTATCATATCTTACGATAGTCTCTTTCAACAAAGAGAAAACCCACAATTGTTGCAAAATGTACTTTACAACACCACTAAATTCGTTTTTTGCAGAGATTTAAATTATGTTTAAGATTAGTAATGAATAACCCTGAACAATTAGTCTGCTTAACTGTATCCTAAAGTGACACTGTTTAATAATACCAATGTGGGCAGTGACTGTTTGAGAAATGAACTGATAGTTGATCAATTTCCTGTAAAATACTGAGAAACTGAGTAAACACACCCTCATAAATGTCCTCACCTTTAATAAGTATGTAGTGGGAATTGTCCTCTGAAACCAGGCGGCGTGACTCCACGCTGTGACTCTGCTGGTCCCCGTCCTGTTGGAAGAGCTGTGGAGCGCTGCCGGCACTCAGCTGGCACATCTCGCTCTCCACGCCCCGCAGACGCTGGTTCAGATGGTTCCTCTGCAGCAGGCCGGCCAGCTGGTACTGTGAGAAGTCTCCTGAGCGCTAAGAGAAAGTGAAGAAGAGTCAGCGTTATTGAACAGGCTATGGGAGAGTGTGTGTGTGTTAGTGAATAAGAGTGAACAGTACCTCTGGGGGTTTCTGGTACATGGTCCGACGCCTTTTGGAAAACTCTTTCATTTCTTTGAGTATCTCATGTTTCATTTCAAGCGGCATGCTGGCAAACTCTTCTGAGTTGATGTTCACTGAGTTAGGGTTTTCATATAATTCTCCCTGAAACACAGTAAGCTGATGTCAATTATGATACTGGGCAATAATACAAAGAAAGGCTGAAGGATGAAGCCAACCAACACAAGAACATCTGAATAATGTGATGTTTAATGTTTATTTTCCTTGGCAAAACTACTTTTTTGCAACACAGCCACAACCACAAAGCAATGATAAAATATAATTAAAACAAAAATTCAATCCATATTCGCAAAACAGAGTAGCATTTTTAAAGTAAAAAAAGTGTTGTGGTGGTGGTGGTGATATGGACCGTGATACATTTATGCATGTCATACATTTACCTGATACATATGATATCCCTCATCTGTCTCATCTGTCTCCTCCAACTCTTTCTCCTCCTCCTCCTCTGAACTGCAAGAACAAAACACATTAACATATATATGGGAAATGACTGTACTATCCAAAGTGCGTCTCATGGCTCTCCTATCTAACACACATGAACAGGCTTTCTAGCCTCAACTGCAAACAATGGATGAAAGACTGAGGAGTGTACTGTAGATATTCTGATTGGATTCTTCACAACTGTATCCAAAAGACCTAGTGAATAGTAACCTTCCGAGGCCTCTGACCTGCTTTTGTCTTTCTCCTCTGCAGCTGGCAGGGCTGGCAGAACGTACATGTCGTCCACTTCATCTCTCCTCACAGTGGAGAGGCTGGGTAGAGGATCCTTACTGTGAAAGAAAAAAAATAAGGGTACTTTAAACAAAACCAGTTGAGGTTACAATGACTCTACAAAGAGACTGTGTTCCAACACATACTCCATACGTCTAACATTTCCAGACTTCCCTGCAGATTTTTTTGACCATAATTGACCTGGTTACTATGGGAGGATGCAACGGATGCTGTGACAAGTCTACATTGCTTTGTGTCTTGCATATGGTTTACAAGTGTTGCCTGGGTGCTGTTTAGCTCTCTCTTCCTGTAAAGAATCATTTGCCAACCAGGCTTTATATTTTGGAAAACATATTTTTGTTCCCACACCAGTCTAGACAAATACACAGACAGATTGACTGCCTGCTCCACATGCCATTAAAAACAGTCTGCTTGTACGATCAATGACATTTTAAAAACTCTGAAGTGTATATTTCTGAAAATAGAATAGGGGCAACAGTCTGGAAACATATATTTTGTCTGTACCTTTTTCAATAATTATCCAGATGTGAAAACGACAGTAAAACTAGTTCAATACATTTCCATACTGGGTAGCAACCTTGAAGAGTAGACAATTTATCTTGTCGTTTTTTTTTTTATAAAGGATTTATTAAGACAGCAGCTAAGTAGAGAACGAGAGAAAACCATCCCTCCACTTGTACAACCACCTCTCCCTTACCTGGCGTCTCCAAGTGCAGCTTTGATAGCTTGTCTCTTCAGGAACGTCTTGAGGAGTTTATCATTCGTCTGTTTGGACTCTTGGGTCAGCTCCTCTTTCCTCTGCCTCCTCAAAGCCTGCAGAAAAGCCACAGCTATGTTAAAGGACAACATATGTGGGGGAATCTCATCCATTTGGGAGAATACTTTTAAATAATGAACAAAGCCTGCTTATGTGGTTCTTCAGAGAGCACTGTACGTACCAGAGTCTGTTTCTTCAGCAGCGGTGCGTCCCCATCAAACACAAATACGGGCCTGATGCGGAAGAAGAGCAGCTTACAGACGCGGTGGAAGAGAGTGAGGAGGTGGGCGTTCTGCACACTGTTACCTTCACGGTCCCTCACCCCTTTCACTGCCTGGTTCAGCCATATACTGATGTCTATGAGGAAGTCTGATTAAGGTAAATGCTACATGATGCACTCGACCACAATCGTAGACAGCAATTAAAATGAGTAAGAACTCGGTTGGTCCAGTATAGAGCCGCACAACTCGCTCTGAACTGTACCAGCAGAGCTTACATGCAAAACCTTGAATGCTGGACATTTGATAAAGTCAGGACGGTTATTCTCCATCTCTCGCTAATTGTCTAAAATGTTATGGTTTGTAACATCAATTTTCATAGAATAGTAATAGACATCATTTTAAATGCAACAAGAGGTCGTTTTTCAGCTGCTGTTAAATAAATGCAGGGCTAAGTACTGTTATGGTAAGAGGAAATACATATGGAATGGTTTACCATCACACGTTACAAATGTTGTATAACACAAGTATACACTTTTACAAATGAGTAAAACATTTGTATCAATCCTTCTATATGCTTTTTCAGTTGTGCTATTATTTTTAAGCTGTATCAAATGTTTTATTGATTATTTAAATATTGTTTTGTTTTTTTATTTGTAGTTTTTTTCCTTTTTGCTTTGGATATTTAATTACTTAAAAGTATAATGTGTGTGTCTAATGTGGACCCTAGGAGGGGTGGTTCCAAACGGATCCACATGAACAAGATCATAATATACCAACAGCCTTCGTCAGACAGGAATATCAGGGAAAGTTATCAATGAGAGACAAATATAAATATATATGACAGCCAGGACAGGATACCAACAGCAAGGATCTTTCCCTCCAGAGTCTCAGGGTTGACGGGCTTCCCTGTGCTCTCCAGCAGCTTCCACAGTCCATGCACTCCCATGATAACTGGAGTTCAAATACTGTGAATATCAAGAAACACACAGCATCAGTTTAACTGTGTCTGACTAATTTAAGCATATTCGTATCGACTCCAAAACCAATAACAAAGAGACGTGCACTATAGGGGCACTTTGCAACGTTTTGTTGTAACACTGTTTTTTGTCCGTGGAGCAATCATGGACTCTACATTAAGGTTCCGCGTTATACATGTCGGTTTACAATCCGCTTTTACATTCAGGGCAGCATACATTTTCTGATCTGATATCAGTTTCACACAAAGTTGGTTCAATAAGACTTCCGATACAACAACATACAAACTGACTGCAGATCAGTCTTGCGTGATGGGTACGGGACGAACTACATGGGTATTTGTTTCCTGAGTGTAACTTGTCAGGCTTTTTTGTCAAATTCTGCTGTTTCAATAACTTGTCCATGTTGAACATATTGTGAAAATACAGGTTACAATAACAACTTGAGGTACTTATCTGTGAACAGTTTTGAACAGGTAACCCGTTGAGGCTTTAGTTTGCAAAAAAGGAGGGGTGTCTTGGCAGGAAGTGTTGCCTGGAATACTAGTTATAGGGCAAATTTACCCTTCTCACTATTCAGCGGCCAACTGTGTCCGGTCCGGTGACGGCAAAAATAAACAGCTTTCGGAGTGCCTACGGTAAATTAATCGAGGACGGTGGACCCATTGTAACTCGGTATGCTATCTATAAATGCTCCCTTATCATCAAATCTTATACCAAATGGAGCTAGTGGAAAGTGTTTGTCTGGGTAGCAAACCGGCAGCTTATCAAAAAGCGGCTACGTTACTGTTTGTTTAACTTCCCGTTAACTGCTTCGGTAGCAAGCACGTTAGCTTACCAGCCAGACAAGCTTTAAATTATACATCCATGTGTTGACTCTGACCTTTAGATAGCGAACTTCTTTGATCGCTGTCACAAACACGGAAGGCTACGAAAACCAAATTACATACTCCTTTGTCTATTGTCACAGGACGAGGAGTCACCTGGTTTCATCTGAACTACCAACTGTTGTTCCTGATTAAAACCGCCACCACCATGACTGCTGCTGTGAGAGGTATGTTTGTTTTTTGTTCAAGTTTTTCATATCATACCTGTGTTGTCGTTTTCAACAAACGGAGATTTCGGTTCAGAATTGTATTACTACACTGAACAACTGGGACACACCTCTTGTTTGTATGAGTCTTGTCGTTTTTCTTCTAATTTATATGAATATTGCTATGAAAATGGGGCAGTTTGTCATGTGACCCAATATATGCAGCATTGTTTAACTAAACTGCACAAGAGGGATACACATTTTTGAATAGGACTTTAGTGCTTTTTCACATTTTAGTGGGTACCAAAAAAAAATCAAGTTTCAACACTCCAACATGCTGCTGGTGAGGGTAGTGGAGGCTATTCCTTAGCGTCTTTTGACACCTAAATGTTAAATTGTGCAATACAAATTGTGTTTTATTAGATTCTTCACACCTGCTTTTAAAGTGGTTTGCTTCTGATGTTATCTTAGTACACAGTAAAGTTTAAGGTGTAAACTCTTTTCTCCTTTATTGCAGGCTCTGCCAGAGGGCCTATTCGAAGCGCTGGCGATGGCATGGAAACTGAAAAAGCGCTAACTACTATCCTCGAGGTTATCACAGATACACTACCACCTGGTCCATCTGCTGTTCCCCTCCTGAAGGCATCTAACCCTAAGCACAGCCCAAAAGCTACCCGTCCTGCTCCCCCTGAGCCTCTCGGAGTGCTCCACCTGGGCAAAGTGAGTCGAGAGGCCTGCACAGAGGTGGAGGCTGTGAGGATCATCGTCCCACGTGCAGCTATTAGCCGGCGCATCCGAACAAAACCTCCTGAGGGCAAAGGGGAGGCGTGGCAACAGGCTGAAGAGCAGGGCTCTCCCCCGCGGCCTCTTGTGGATGACTGGAGAAAACAGATGGAGAAGCTGCAGAACTCTGAACGACGGCTACTGCAGGACAAGGAAGGCCTCTCCAATCAGCTCCGAGTGCAGACAGAGGTGAGACCCCTCAGGAAGCAGATACTGTTTGGTTTTTCCTTCAGGTGAAAATAAAGGCCTTTTTTCATTCAGTTGTAAGATGAATTTGGTAAACCTTTTTCATTCCGTGTGCTAGGTGAACCGTGAGCTGAAGAAACTGCTGGTTGCATCGGTCGGTGATGACCTACAGTACCACTTTGAGCGTCTGTCGCGGGAGAAGAACCAGCTGATCCTGGAGAACGAGGCTCTGGGTCGATGTCATGCACACACCGCAGAGCAGCTGGAGCGAATGAGCATCCAGTGTGACGTTTGGAGGAGCAAGTTCCTGGCTAGCAGGTATGAATAACAGACCAAATAATTGTGACATTTAAATGGTTGGAAAAAACAACATTTCATCCCTTTTCATCATTTTTTTTAACAAATACGATTTAAAAAAAGATTGTTCTTCACAGCACTACCGTTATCATGGTGAATAAACACTTGTTTTCACTTCAGAGTCATGGCGGATGAGCTGACGAATGCCAGAGCCACTCTGCAGAGACAGAACAGAGAAGCACAAGGAGCCATTCAGGACCTGCTGATGGAGAGAGAAGACTTCTCCAGAAACATGGTGCTCACTCACAGGTAACATACAGTATACCGTTAACCACAAAATGAAGTACATATTTGATAATAATAGTTTGCAATACAGATGGCGATTAGATAAAGACGAATGCTTGAACTCTTTTAAATTTGACGTTGCTCTATTGTGACCTTTAATCCACCCAACAGATAAAGATTAAATAAAGTTCTAGCTCCACTTAAGGATTTTACTTAAAGATTGTAAGCACTTTTTTTGTAGGTGTCCACTCTGGTGCATTTGTGCAAGAGTTAGCTCTACTAGCTGTATATATAGACACACATCGTTTTTGCTTTTTGGACATGGGTATAGTTCTTTTTAATTAGCCATGTAGTCTCAAGTAACTTTTAACAAAGCAAGGATCCTGCATGTACAATTCATCTCACTGCATAAGAATGGGTGAGCCATAGCACAAAACATTTATAGATTAAACATTACAATAATCTTTTACAGATAAGGTTCAAAGGTCACAGCTTAGCCACTGATGGTTTGTACATCAACCTAGGCTGCTGATCAGGCACAACTGAAAACAGATCGGCCTCGCTCGGTACTGCTAGGCCGCGTTGGGCCTTGTTAGGGCCGGCTCACTTCATGCTGCGCTTCCATTACAGTTTAGGAACTGGGGTAGTTACTATAGTAACGCAGTGTAGGCGGAGCCGTGACGTCATCTTCAATGAGAACCCCAGAAAAACAACACAGCCGTTAGCTGTTAGCACTCAGAGCTCACAGCTCCTCATATCTGTTCAGAAACTAGACAAAAGTTAAACAAGTACAAACCACAGACTGCCTGTGTCATGGCGAATACAGTCGCTGGTTTATTTATGTCTGTATAGGCCGTTGTTGTGAGTGTGGACGGTCGGAGCATATATTGCGTTAGCTTAGCCGATCTCCATCTAGAAAACACGCATTTTAAAAGGTTTTTCGCCTGCCGTCTGTCTGCAGACTTGTCAAAGCATTAATTCATGGTTTTTACTAACCGGTATCAGTATGTTGTTACTTCGGCATCATTTTGAAACGTGTATTACAATTAAATCACGGTCAAATATGTTCATCTTGTTGTAGTTGTAGCCCCCTTGCCCGCGAACTCAGCCCTGTTTGTTGGCCCCGATAGAACCACGATTTTGTCGGGCCAGAAAAGAGGTGAAAAAGTACCCCCGGGCCAGAACTAGGCATAGTGGAAGCGCAACCAAAAACGGGCCCGGCACGACACGGCACGCTTAAACCGAGAGTTTGTGTTGCTTTCCTGTGGTCAGATCTCTGGAGCAGCTCCTCGTGTCTCTGCAGTGGGGACGTCAGCAGACATACTACCCCAGTGCACAGCCCCTCAGCACAGGAGAGCTGTCAGCAGCCAATCACAAGCTAGCAGACGCCATCAACTCCCACCTGCTAGGCAACACCACCACCACAACAACCACCAGCAGCAGCAGCAGCAGCAGCAGTGCAGCCGCTGAGCAGCTCTGCAGCACTCCGGCTGAGAAGATGGCCGAGAAGGTACAAATTCCACATCCTTCTACAAAAATTACAATTATATAACATTTGTCCAGTGCTTAAAACATTTTCTGTTTTGTATTTTAGGTGCTGAAGAGTTTAGATCCAATTTCCTGTACAGAAAACAATGCTGACCCCCCGCTTTGTGACACTTCCTCTGGTTTTCTGAGCAATAAGAAGAGCATCGGCAGGTTTCACCCCTACACTCGCTATGAGAATATTACCTTTAACTGCTGCGAGCGTTGCACTGGAGACATTCTGGTGCTGTGAGGACAACGAGACATTCTGGTGCTGGAGAGGACATCGGGATACGGCAAAACATCCCAATGGGACAACGTTCATTTCAAATGACAGATCTTAACAGGACTGTACTCTGGAGAACATGTATTGAGTGACTTTATTCAGCACCAGAGGTTACCTTTCTCTCCATCAGTATCAGTCCTTCTACCCATATCAGCTTTGTTTTTAAACAACCTGCTGTTTTGTTGCTCTCCTCAACTTGAGGGATCATGATGTGAAAGTGATGATGAATGCATTTCAGAGCCATTGCATCCTGGTTTAAACTATTGAGAGTTGTATTTATTGCTGGGATGTGAGGTCAAGAGGAGTCAGTGTTACATGGTGAACAGACGCCGTTAGGGTGTCTGCTTATCCAAACTTGAACATTATACTACTATGTTTTAAATTGTATTTATCCATTACTGTAAATAGTCAATGTGCAATAGAGCAAACAAGACATCCTATTGTGGAAACACCCTTGGGCAAGCTAACAAACCGTAAATTAGCTAATTGAAGTCAAACATTTGTACCTTTTTTCAAATCAAAAAAAGAAGTGATGATGCCTCTTACACTTACATTCAGGGGGTGGCCCTAATTTTGCATTATGACATGCTATTATATATTTTGTATAATGCATGTTGCAAAGGCCTTTGAATATATATAAAATCCTTTGGAAGTTGTTTGACGGTACTACAATAGACTTATTGTACATACACGCGAGTCCACTTATTTGCAAAGAGTTTAAAAGACAAAAAAAAAATCTTAAGAAATTCCAACAACTTTTTAAATGATTGCTAATGTGTTTTCATGAATCATGGCATTGTTAAGTGATTCATTTTGTAATGCATAGTTTAAAAACTGATTTGAAGACGTTTGCTGTTGCTTTGGAATACACTACTATGAAATGAATGATAGTAATAAACTGCACATGCCTTTTTGACATTTTCTCAAACCGAGCTGTAACATACTTTGGTTTATTTCATTTGTATTGAACAGTTTGCATTGATAGTGTATACTTTACAGTGAAAACAATACCAGAAAACATTTATACATCTTTTTCATTTTCCATATCAGATCAAAAATAAAGACCAAAGATGTTTGTACCTCTTTTTAAATGTCTTGTTTACATCAGAAATCAGTAAAGAAATGCATTCTGTAAGAACAAATGACTACCTATTACAACTCTTTAATCACCAATTGTCTATGCTTGACATTTCCTCAGACAGTGCATGTAAATGTTTCATTATTATCCCAAGTTTGAATTCACTCATCATTCCACTACACCTTTCCTTTGCCATTCTTATTCCCGTTGCTTTTAAATGATGTTCGCATTCCAGCCATTCTGTCTCTACCACTGAATCCAGACTCTTTATGGGTCTTGTAAAGACTTTGGCCCTCATTTTGAAATGTCCTCTCACCAGACCTAAACGGCCTTTCACCATCCTGTCTTGGTCTATCATTGCTAACTCCCTTTACTCTGTTTTTGGGAATCTCTTGCTGTGTCCGTTCATGATGGAAGCCATCGTACTTCCTCTTAGGTACGAACTTCAACGCCTCCTTCCATTTCCCCGTCTCCTTAATTGTGAGCATGATGCGGATCAGCTGGTCCAGAGTTAGATTTTTGGCTCCTATCTCCCAGTTAAGGTACTGATCCAGTGGTAGGCGAGCTGTGGCCAGATTCAGACGCTTGGCATTGGCCAAAGACAAGCCTCGCTGGGCGGACCGGTCCACCAGAGCTCCAATGATGTAGACCTTTGAGTGGTCAAATGTGTGGAGAATATTGGGGGAGTCTGCAGTAAGGTATACGAGTTCTTCACGGGGAAACAGATCAATGTAATGTTTGTCAGAACTGTTGATGAGTATGCGATCCCAGACATCTGCACCATATAGTTTGCTCAGCTCCTTTTGATAGGTCCCGTCTGCCTGTAGGTTGCAAAAGTGGAGGTTGTAGGGTTCAGTGGCACGCCGGTTCCAACCTTCAGCCTCCATCAGCTGATGCACTGTGTTCTCCAACTCCTGCCTGGCCATGTTGGAGGCATAGCTCATGTCAAACACCAGTGGCTGACCGAACCTCATGGCCTGGGCGCTCCTCCAGGCATCGTGCGTGTGTATGGTGCAGTCCCATAACCTGAGCGAAAGTTTGTTTTCAAGCTCAACATCTTCTTTTGGCAATAGTTCCTCCCTTGTGACTTCCCTCTCTGCCTTCTCATTCTGTTTCTTCTCCTTATCTATTTTTTTTTTTTTTTTTGTGGCCCTCTTTGATGGACAGGAACTTGAGGTATTTCTTCCTGGAGGACTTGGTGGTAAGTTTTGCAAGGGCCTGGACCTCTTCATCCGTCATCTCTTCAGGTACAAACTTGCCTGCCTGGCGCCACATAACAACGAGATCCCGAGTTGCCTCCAGTGAATTATCCTTTGAATCTACACCTGGTTCTGTCAGATCGTCATTATCATCACATGCTTCCTCTTTATCACTGACTTGTTTTTCTTCTGATGCTTGGGCTCTCATTACAGATTTCCATTTATCCAGATCTAGTGTCTTTGTGTCATCGGGAATATCTTCTTTTGGCCGGAGGGCGTCTTTCCTCCCCGGGATCCCAGTATTGAAGGAGCGAGCAGGGATGTGTAGCCGGGGATGAGAGGTGCTGCTGACTGGGAGGAAACGTGTGACTTGCCTCTTGGTCACACACGCTGCCGCAAAATGACTTGCTTTCCAGAGTTCATAAAAACCCTGGTTAGCAAAGAGCCGCAACATCGCGCTCTGTCAAAAGTACGGAAACCAAGAAATACAGACGCTGTGTCTTCACGGAACAAAAACGTGTTTGAAAAGCGGAACCCTGTAATTTCCACTTTCATACAAATTAAAGCCAAATCTGCAGCTTGACTCTTTAATATTCCCAAACGTATGTCGCGGCGTTGGTGCTTCTCAAACATTGAGAGAAGGTCACGTTGTATAGACGGTGTCACACTATAATGTGTCGTAGTGAAACGCCACCACATGACATGAACGCACGACTTGGCTCGTCTTATCTTTAACGTTGACATAGCTGGGCCAAAACAAGATCTTCCAATTAATACAATTTTACTTTATTTAAATTATCTAGGAAAGGTTGATATCAATGATAATACAATAACAAATATCTAACGCAATTTCTATGCTATTTCTAGTCGGATTTATTTCAGAGTCGTACAGTGGGAAGAGCTAGCTGACGACTGCAGTCCGCGGAAGCGCTGTCACCATAGATATAAACACTATATGGCTATATGCCATACATTTTTGCATACATTCACAGTACATATTTATTCAGTATGATAGCTGTCTAATAGAAGTTAAATCCATGTCTCACTTATTCTGACAATGTATTTAACCCCAAATAAAAGAACCCAATAAAAAGAGTTGTTAAATAATAGTGAAGTCACGTTGTAATAACAATAATCTCTCTCGGTTCTTTTTCTGCTTTGCCAAAAGCCACTGTGTCAAGTGTCCTAGTAGAGTTGCCGTATGTAGTTGTCCATCTCGCACATGCGCAGTACAGATCGGGCAGGGGGACAGATCGGGTAGTGACAGTGACTATAATAGCTAGCCTTTAAGCCTTGAAAATGAGTTTGTTTTTGCCTAAATTAACTTGCAAAAAAGACATTGATGAAGTTATTAAAGGGGTAGCAGAAAAAGTCGTAGTACTGAGGTTCGGCAGAGATGAGGACTCGATTTGCCTCCATATTGACGAGATTGTAAACAAGATAACTTTATTTTTAAACGGATGCTATGTGTTGGTGTCATGATTGTTTTTTCTAATTTGTCAATTTCTTACCATCCTAGCTGTCAAAAACTGCCCATGACCTGAGTAACATGGCGTCCATCTACATCGTGGATGTGGATAAAGTGCCTATCTACACAAGATACTTTGACATCAGTTACATCCCCTCCACTGTTTTCTTTTTCAACGGACAGCACATGAAAGTGGATTATGGGTAAGTGAAAGAAGGGAACTATTAGTTATAATTATCTGAAGACATACGATTCTTCTTCTCAGAAAGTTTCAAGATGGGGCTATAATTCAGGATTTTCATCATCAACTAATATGCTTAATGTTTCATAATGAGGGATTGTGTAAAAGTTATACTTTGAGTTTAGCATTCGTGCTCTCAGTTAAACACTGAAACATTAGATGCAGAATAAATACAAAATATATATAAATATATCTATAGCCTGCATGATTGATTGCCAACAAATGGTATTTACCTTTTACACATGCTCAAATGCATGTATTGTCATTGACACATTTACAAATACAACCATAGAAAAAACATACTGCGTACATTTAGGAAAATTCCATAACATCAACAAATATAATCACCCAACAAATGTACAGAGCCTTATCTTAACTTAATATGTACCGTCATGTTTTAGTTTTGTAAATAAAAGTGCTTCACAGGTCCCGAGAGGCAAAAGTCCATAGCTCAAGCTATGAAACTAAATAAAAGTAGCGAATATTTACTTTTGAGAAGCCAGCTTTTGCATATATATACCTTAGCTACAACAGATGCCATTCATTGTAAATGAAAAGAGTACGTTTGACTTTATGTTCTCTTTCAGCTCCCCAGATCACACCAAGTTTATTGGCAGCTTCAAGACCAAACACGATTTCATGGATCTGATAGAGGTCATTTACAGAGGAGCCATGCGTGGAAAGATGATTGTCCAGAGTCCCATAGATACTCAAAATATTCCCAAATTTGATCTCCTTTACCATGGGATTTAAAATCAACACCTCCACCTCGTGGCCTTATCCTCAAACAGATTTCACTGAGTGGCTTCGACCACGTCTGACTGATTTACTGAATGGCTTTAATGTCAAAGTAGCTTTAACATTCAAGCAAATATCTGAAGAAAGTTTGATGATAAAGCGTCTGATGTTCATTTTCATATAGAATTGAATTTCCAAAATACACTGCTGTTTACTCCTTGTCCTTTTGCTGTGTTTAAATGTTCCTTGTTGAGTTTTTGACTACTGTTTACAATATAAAACTAAATATATATTTTTTTATCGGTCCCAGTTTCCTTGTCTCTCATGCACGCATCGGGGCACACATTCTAGCCAATGGTTTCACAATATTATCCTGATCTACAGGTAACATTGACACTCAAGTGAAGGCACATTGGGAAAATAAACAAAGAGTCAGCAGGCTTAATACAGATCTAAAATGAATGTTTTACATGATTTTCAAAATGTTTTCTGAGGAAGGAAATGCATTATAGAAAGATGTCTGTTAGCCCTCATGAAGACTGATTAACACTGTTAACATAAACGTGAACAAGAAAAGTCCATAGGGCACCTTTAAAAGTACATTAAGATCTGACAGTACATTCAATAAAACAGGCTTTCTTCAAATGTGTTTATTTATAAAAAGTAAGACATTTCTATCTTTAAAAATATCTTAATATTTCCATAAATGTTGCTGTTTTCTAAATCTTTATCATCATATTGTCTATTTCTTATGTTTGATGGAGAAGATGAGCATTTTTATATACGTCCTTGATTTGTTTGAATTTATTGTTGAATCATATTATCTTGTTTCCCATGTAAAACAGCAGAAATTATGCAATTGTTTTTTCCAATGTATGTGCTCAGTTTTTATAATAAACGTCTTCATTATTTAATCTTGCACCCTTAATTTACAAAATATCTACTTTTTATTTTAAGAGGATATTGCACTATATATTTGATTGAGTTTAAAGGGATCTTTCTAAGTCTAAATACTGGAAACATTTGAGTGATAAAGGTGAAAGTGATCAGCTGCTTATATTTATCAAGCAGTTTAAAACAAAAATCATTCCTATTCAGGTGCTACACAGTACAAGGATAGTATACAATCCTTAAGTAATATACAGTATTTGGTGTTCAAATCAACAATATATATATATAAATATAATTATGTTTAAATTATGTGTGACTTAATATCATGTTAGATTTTGAATATCGTAACTGGTTTTCTCCTGCATGGTTAAAATGCGGTATCACTGTAAAATACTGTCTTTTTTAAATTTACTATATTGTTCTAGCTGTTCTATTACTTGCCTTTCCACCTTGGTTATTATATTTACATTACTGATGACTCCTCATTGTGTAAATATTTTGTGAATGCGTTAATGACCAACCCTACATTATCATCACACTATTGATATTCAAGTATTTGGGCAAAATGTGCCCAGGCCTAGTTGCAACAAAAGCAAATGTCAAAAAAGGGAGAATTAAGAGTATCAAACAGAAACATCAGTACTATACAAGAATGCTGCGATCCTTGTGAAAACAGCCACATATGAGTTTGTACCCCCTGTGGTTTCAAGTTGAACAATTCCCATTTCACCGTATACTACTTTCAATAACACTTTCCTTCAATGTAGGCATTAACTCCAGAAGATGGCAGTAGTACAACTTTAAGGATATAACATAAGCGGTCAATACAAAAAAAAAATACAAATGGACAGGCAATTTACTGAAGCAGAGTTGTGGAGCGGTTTGTCTTTCAGCCATCATTGGGGAGGAATCCGAAATCTGAATTATTTTTGGGAATGTTCATGTTGATGATTTGTGTGTCACACAAGAATATTATATGATTAATAAGGGCTTAATATGAATAGGTACTGAAACGTAGTCCCCTTTAAAAAGTTTTTTTTATTATCCTACAACCCTTTGGGGCAAACAAATGAATAATTAGTCTTGATAATATAAGGAATCTGTAAAAATCTGTTAATTTGTAATAAAGAAATCCTTCAAAAACCATAATTATTGATAGCAACTTCATAAATGTGATTTACTCTGTTTCACATCATTGTGCATTTAATTAATTTTATTATTTTGAATATGTTATGTGCTAAGAAATTGATTCATACATAATTCATATTAATTATTAACGGGTAATGAAAGTAATTGAAGTGCTACAACTATGAATAATTTCAAAAATATATAGTCACAATTCATCAGCCTACAAGACATGAATGTGAATAATAGGATCAATGGGAGAACATTTATAACATTTAAATAGCACTGCCTTTCAAGAGTTTCTTGAGTGAAATGCCCATTCATCTGGATTTTGTTAATACATAATAATAATAATAATAATAATAATAATAATGATAATAATAATAATGATACATTTATTTAGTATAGCACCTTTCACAGAAATAAAATTCACAAAGTGCTTCACAAGAAAGAACAAAAGTTAAAATGAAGACCACAGAAACATGAATACAATAACATCATGAGGCAGAAATTAAGCTTCACATCAAAACAAAACACAGACCACGTAGAGTCCCGAAAGGAACAAACATAAGAACAAAACACACGTTAACATCTCCTCTGTTTACTCAGGATGAAGGCAGACACTGGGGGTCTGCCTCAGGAAGTCCTGCTCCACATCTCCCCCCACTGCCTCTGCTGGACGGTGCTTACGCTTCTTAGGTACCAATGTAATAGTCACTGCAAAGGAAGCAGTAGCTACTTATTTGGTTGTTGTTTGATGTTGTTTTATTCACCACCTGTAGTTTCATATCATACTCTCAGCCGTCTCAGAAGATGAAGCATGTGCAGAGGCAGAATCCATGAGTCTCATGATTTTTCTGTATGTTCTGACTGATTTGCCCTCTTTTAAAGGTTGCATCAACGCATTGCCAATATTGCTACATTATAGAAACCCCACAATATTACCAGTACAAAAAGCAGTCATATGCTGTGTAAAGTCATTCTAACTTTGGGTTTTGTATAGTTTTAATCATTGCCAAAGCAGCTACAGGTAATGTTTTTTGTTATGACAACAATCAAATGAAAATGCTGCAATGTGAACCCAGTGATGAACATGCAGAAAATGTTACATGATTTTGCAGCTTCCCTCAATAGCAATATGCAAATCATTGTTTTGCCTTTTAGCCCACAATTGTAATGTTTGCATTCAATCTTACAAGTCCCACTGCTTTCATAAAGTTGTTTTCGGCAAAAAAGCTCTAATTCCCTGTTGAACACTTTATGCCCAGCACAAACAGCAGACAGACATAGCTTGTTTCCACAGCTTGACTCTTAAAAAGGAATCAGCAAGGGATAAACACACAAACAACAAGTATTTTATTCCCCACACTTATGCTGTGGTGAAGGCCACTTCCCTCAGGCTACATTAATGTAAAAGTCCTATTGTGGTAAATATTGCTTAATATTAATAAAGTATGGCTTAAAGGTAAATATTTACATTATTCAGTTGAGGTTAGATTTGCTGCTGATGTTAGCTGTTTGAAAATTGAGAAACATTTATATTGGTATAAAGATATTCTGATAATATAAACAGCGCTTGTACTTTGTTAAGTCAGTTTTGAATTTGTAAGTTGGATCCCTTAAATTAGATTTATTTTCATATTTTTATTATTTATTCTTGGTGTTAGTAATGGTGTGCTGGGGCTTGACATTTTTTTTTTCTGGCGCTGTGGTGCTGCTTTGAGTTAGAGTTGAACCAGCTAGCTCCTACCTGAAGGCCACAGACGCAGACTTCATCCAACAACAAAAAAAGCATGGCAACCACCTGCAGTATGTCAGCTTCAAGGTATGAACTAATGATGAGGAGGAGATGGGGGGTAAAGTGATAAAAAAAGAAAGTGCAGTTAAGTGAATTCTTCTGAATGTTCAGTTTGAGTTAAAGACTCTTCGTTTTGTATTTTCTTTCTTCATGCTGCCCTGTTGGACAGCAGCAGAGAGTCGGCAGAGGCAGCGTGCAACATCTCACAGCTGGTGAACTGTTCTCTGAATATATTGGGGCTCATCTCCACAGCCAGGGTCAGCATCATGTGTCTGCCCAAGCCTCAGCCAAATTATTATTTAATTTACCATCTTTATTTGCAGGCAAGCTTAGCCACTTTCTTGTCTTAGTGACCTGCCGACACAATTTATACATTACATTTTGTAAGTTATAATTTTAGTTTGACCAACATTTGCCTTATTATTGTGGCCAAGTGCTCACATGAGCTTCTCTGACCTTACACATCATGTACAATGACATAATGTGTAGAAAAGCACTGATCACACACACACATACACCAGGCCTGGCGCCGCATTGTGTGATCAGTGGCTGGTTGTTTGGAGCAACCGACCTGATCAAAATGTGACAATAAACTTCAGAAAAGCTCAAATAAAATAAAAGTCAAGACATTTACGACACTAAACATTAACATTTCAGGCCTTCTTAATGGATAGTACTTTAAAAAGTGTGGCCAAACCTCATAAAGCCTTTCTTTTTAATGAACCAATAAGTTACCAATGAATGGGTGTCGGGCTATTACAAACTAAATGAAACCAAACTGACATCTGTTATAGGGATATCTACCCTAATTTCTTGGGACGGTTAATCTTGGAAGACAAATAATAAACGTATGTTTTTAATTCATGTGTCTAAATCTGGAGGTGCCTTGTGGACTTTTGATCACTAGAGCTGATGTGAAATAAGTGTTTCTGTTTAATTTATATCCCTTAACATGTTTCACATGCAAGTACTGACAAATGGAAGAAGTGATAGCTATTAAGGAGACTATGATTAATAATGATTCATAATGTATGACTAATTATTGTTGGGAATATGATTTATCAAGGACAATTATAGCAGACATAACGGTGCATTGGTGGAAAACGTTTTACATCCCTGGAACGGCAAGCACTTTCCCTTGGGATCTTGTTAGTAACAGGAGGTCACATTTGAGAGGAAATGTTGGAATAAAACACATTTATTAGCAGTCAATGAGTTAATTGGGCAGAAGTGACTGGATGACATAAATGTATAGGAGGTGACATTGATATAGTATTATAGACATTTTAGGGCAAAACACCAATTAATAAATCACTCCTAATTGTTACAATAAGACAATAAAGGCATCTAGTCCAAAAGCTACAGGGAGTTAGAACAGCATTGTCCGAATGTCTTTTTTCTCAGCCAGGCTGTGTAGATCTGTAGTCTCCTAATTAATGTTTTCTCTATCCCTAAATAAATCTACGCATCTGTACTTCGGCTGATGCATCAGTAAAGATGCTGGGTCATGTTGTGGTCACCTGGCTGTGCTTCAACAGGCTGTGACCCCTGGACAAGGAGATCATCTGCTTTGCCTGCACGCATTGGCTTGGGAGAGAGCAAGGTGTCCTGCAGTCCAATTATGGAGTTTGTCTAGAATGAATGGTGAAAGACCAGCACAGCTATCCATCATGGAGGAGGTACTGCTTCCTGATCATCGCTACGGGCTGGATGATATCCACTGGGAGGTGTTGAAGAATTTGGGTTGCGGACATAATGGCTGCAAGAACCCCTATGAGATAACAGGTTTTTTGGCCTCCACGTGTCTTTCTGCCTCCTTTCATCATCACCATACCTCTATTTGATGTCTTATATGTGAATGATAATGATGAGAAGTTTTGTCACTCAGATGAAAAATAACCTAAGGGACCAAGAAGTGGATGACAACATCCAACTGAGCTGGACGAAGCAGCCGGATGCACAAGTCTTCCAGAAGGAGAATAAGAAGAAGAGGAATGAGCTTTAATGTTGAATTTCTGTGTCATATTTTATCAGAGAAAAGAAAAACAAAATAGTGATAATAACAAACGGTACAATTTCAAGTAAAATATTGATCAAATACATATTTGGTCTCTCTCTCTCTCTCTCTCTCTCTCTCTCTCTCTCTCTCTCTCTCTCTCTCTCTCCCTCTCTCTCTCTCTCTCTCTCTCTCTCTCTCTCTCCTCTCTCTCTCTCCTCTCTCTCTCTCTCTCTCTCTCTAGTAGGGGCCCATAATTCAACACTCCATCTGTGTGTATCTTTTGTCTTCAGCTATGCTCAAATTCATTTTGAATTTTACATTACCTAAGTTAAATCATCATTATAAGTAAGCCATCCGATTAAGCCGAACCGCTACCGCAGAATTGTATTACTGCATGGAAACTGTAGGCACAGGAGCCTTAATGAACTACAGCATTAAAACCAATGGTGAGTAGTTTCAGTGATGTAAAAAGCAAAGTTGCTTCTGCTTTTACTGGCTTAAAAGAGAAAAACAATGGAAAAAATGTCAAAGTTTGGTCTCAGAAAAGCATATTTCTTCAAAATAAATGTTGTTGTCATTATTATTTTTGTATTTGAACATGTTTAATGGGTGAAGTGAATTTGGAAGCACTGCAACAGAGGAAGTGATTTTGGTGGGTGAGGGTGTAGCTAGTTATCATTTGTATAAAGTACATATATGCAAATTGTTCCATTTCAGAAATATATGATTCTGAAATGGGCCAATTTGCACAAGAAGCCTACTTCAAGTATATTTAGATGCAAATACGTTTGTTCTTTTACTTGAGTAACCTTTTGAATGCAGGACTTTTACTTGTAACAGAGTATTCATACACTCTGTACTTCTCCCACCTCTGGACACAACCCCCGGTGTGTGTCCAGAAGCTACAGTTATCTGCTGGGAGGGGAAGACACGGCGCTACACCATCCTGCTTTCACTTGAAAACTTTTAACAACTCAGTGAAAGGAATAGGCACACAAACACATGTCAGTTTTTGAGCTACCTTCCTAAGACTGTCGTGCTGAGAGGTGATGCTTGGTGTTGCTGGGATGACGGGCAGGTAAGATCTTTCATTAGCTTGGCTAACGTTAGCTTGTAGCAGACCTACACAACCGCTAGCTTTACCTAGCAAACTAGCTTGCCAACATAACCATTGGGGTAAAGTTAGCTCACCTCTTTTTAAGCGACAACATGTGTTATTATTAATTTATCATTTCGATTCAGGGTTACAGTTTGAAAGTTGTTTCATTTCTGACATAATGATGCGTTTATTAAATAATATTAGGCAAAAATAACTGTGGGTAGGGTTCCTCCCCTGATTGGAGCTAACTTTAAGATTAGCATGCTAGCTAGCATTTTAATGTTTTTCAACATAATGGGAATTATTAGCACTCACCGTCCCTGATCAGAAAGGTCTGACTTTTCAGGTCTGAATAATAAGACAATTCGGTCTGACAATTGTTGATTTATAGTTACTAAAATATAGCAAATTATTCCATTGCTATCATCCTAACTTGTTCGTGTTTTTGCCCTCTGTTTTTACATTACTATTGTTTTTGTTTTGTTTACTTTAAAGTGTTGTTGTATTCTTGTTTTAACCATGTTAATCCCTATGTTTTCAAAGGTAATGTACATCTACAGTTTATAATTATTATTACGTTTTTAATTATTATCTTTATTTAGAAATTACAGAAACTCACATTCAATACCTTGGCTCGTGAGCTACTGTACTTTAATTTTACAACTTGACTTAAACAGTTTCGGTTATTACCAAACTACTCTGAGAAAGTTGTAAGATGTGGCATAGCATTCAACTGTAAATTGAAAACACAAAATCAGAGTGTGGTTGTTGGTCTATTTTTTAGTAATTGTGTGTGTGTGTGTGTGTGTGGAGGAAAGGCTGCTCATCGTCTGTCAGCTCTGTTTCAGTACCTCTACTCCTTTACCAAATTAGGCTTTGGCGGGACTGTGAGTAGTGAGTTCCCCAACTGATTCACAAATTATGTTCCACTCTCCATGGTGACAGCTGCTGAAACAAGCTCAACAGTTGTAGGAGATATGTGAGAAATGATAAACATTGGTCCGCCTTGCATCCCAGTTATTTGTCAGCCCAACAGTTCACGGGGGACTCTGGGGACGTAATGTATTAATATGTATTTTCTTGTCTCATGCAACAGCATTGCTAATGCCCTGGCCAGTGCGGCCTGTGAGCGCTGTAAGAGCGGCTTTGCTGCCACTGAGAAGATTGTGAATAGTAATGGAGAGCTGTACCACGAGCAGTGCTTTGTGTGTGCCCAGTGTTTTCAGCAGTTCCCTGAAGGACTTTTCTATGAGGTAGTGTACTCAAATAAACATTGTAAATCATTTCACAAATCAACACAATGATAAGACATACTCCTCCTGTGTTTCTCTTGAGTTAAGGGATTTCAATATTTTTCTTTTCACAGTTTGAAGGAAGAAAATATTGTGAACATGACTTCCAGATGCTCTTTGCGCCTTGCTGTCACCAATGTGGTGAGTGTTATAGGGCCTCATTCATTCAAGGCATGCCCATATTTAGTATTTGTGGGGGTGTGCGAATCCCACATTTTGTGTAAATAATAAAGTCTATTGTATTCAGATGTAATAGGGCTTTACATGGTACTAGAATACATCTCTTGTGCCTGAAGTGAAGATTTTGTGTATTGTACAGAGTTCCTTGCAACTTTTTATTTTTTGGTGCACTGCAGTACGGTACATATTTCCATGTAAGCATCCCTGACCTTGTTAGAGAGTTCAGATCTCAGCATTCCTCACTGATCTTTAAGTCTAATCATACTTTTATTTAGAACTTCCCACTTGTGTTTAGATTACCCATGATGCATTTTAGTGCTCTGTAAGCTTAATTTAAATACTAGTGGACTGTGTCCAGGGAGAGACAAACGTGCTGTAATTAATGTAAATGGACAATTAAAATGCATTTAACATCAAAGTGTCACTCTGAGAACCCGATAAAAACACTGCAGAGCATTGTAGAAACTGCAGGACTCCAAAATGGAGCTCATTATGAACTACTGTACACTACCTAGAAAATGTCATTCAGTTTCAATAAATGTTGTAAAAGTCAAACTTGGACTCATATTGCTCTCTCACTTATGGTTTCCCTCAGGGGAGTTCATCATTGGTCGTGTCATTAAGGCCATGAACAATAGTTGGCACCCAGACTGCTTCTGCTGTGACATTTGCCAGGCTGTGCTTGCAGACGTGGGATTTGTCAAAAATGCTGGCAGGTACGTGTCTTATCTTATTCCATTCTTTATATAACACTGCGGCAGCCTGTGAATCAGGCAGGTTACACACACCTCAACCTGATGACTCGCAATTTGTATTGAAGTATTGAACTTTTAAGGAGCTGTGGCAGAGTATGTTGAACCGTTATGTTATACTGATTATACTTTCTTGACACACCTAACATTTTGTCCTCCTTCATTTACCTCAGGCACCTTTGTCGCCCGTGCCATAACCGCGAGAAAGCTCGGGGCCTGGGCAAGTACATCTGCCAGAAGTGCCACGCCATCATTGAAGAGCAGCCGCTGATCTTTAAGAACGACCCTTATCATCCAGACCACTTCAACTGCAGCAATTGTGGGTCAGTCTTCCCAAGCTAAACTATTATTAAGCGCATAACATGGTACACTCCAGAATATATAACCACATAACAATGATCTTTAATGTGTTTTAATATTTGTGTGTACACAGGAAGGAATTGACAGTCGAAGCCAGGGAGCTGAAGGGAGAGCTCTACTGTTTGCCCTGCCACGACAAGATGGGTGTCCCAATCTGTGGTGCCTGTAGGAGACCCATCGAGGGCCGTGTTGTCAACGCTATGGGCAAGCAGTGGCATGTGGAGGTTTGTCATCATGAATGAGACAATGTATAATACACTCAATACGACAAAACAATTGTGTGTTTTCAAAGTAATCAATACCATGTTGTTGTTTGTTGTTTCGATGGGATTACATTAGGAGTTTGCTCATCCTATTAAAGTAAATTGAATTGCCACCTTAATGTGTCAAACCCAGACAGAGGTACACAATAGGGGCCATTAAATCTAATTAAGAATATAACAAAATGAATGCCATTTGGTAATGGAAGTGTTTCTGTTAAATTCTTCTGCACATTAAAAGTTTGACTAAATGGAGTATGGTCAGTAAGACTTCTGACTTTGGTTGATAATAGTGACAACATGTAATGCTTGCCCCTTTCTGTGGTTGATATATTGTATGTTTAGACTTCACACAGATGAACTTTACATTCAGTAAAATTACCAATGCATATTAATCAATTACAAAAATGACTTTTGTACCAAAACATTGTTAATGAGATAATTATAGGCAGTAGGAGAAATGTGAGCACTTTTAAAGAGATACGTTCTCCTGAGGCAGAATAAGTTGAGTGTTAATGTGTCGAGGTTGCTGAATTTGATACTGTTCCACAGACTATCATCAGCGAATGGCAGTCAATTTAATAATTAATTATTTTTTGGCAACACTTCAGGATACAACAGTAATATTTCCCAATAGGTCAAGTCTATAACTTCCAAAAAAAACCTCAGTAAATAAACATATTCATATGAGGCTCATGTATTATTCATGTTGTATAGGCAACTGCTCCTCTAGTCAGTTTCTCATGCCTTCATTAGAAGTTTTCCCCCTCTCCCTCAGCAACATTTGTTTTTGTTTACAGCATTTCGTGTGTGCCAAGTGTGAGAAGCCTTTCCTCGGTCATCGGCATTATGAGAGGAAGGGGTTGGCTTACTGTGAGACTCATTATAACCAGGTAAGGAACACAAGTGCCGGGAAAATAATGACTTTGGAGGACATGACGGACATCATAATGTTGTACAGAAACCCACTCTCCTTGTTTCTCTGTTATCCAGCTCTTCGGCGATGTGTGCTATCACTGCAACCGTGTGATTGAAGGCGATGGTCAGTATCAATATAATCAAGCTCACATTTAGAATAAGCGTATTTAGTCATTTACATAAAATGTTGAGTTGAATGTTCATATTTTCCTTTTTTCTTCTCAGTGGTGTCTGCTCTCAACAAGGCCTGGTGTGTCAGCTGTTTCTCATGCTCCACCTGCAACACAAAACTCACTCTCAAGTAAGTGATGTGGCTCATCAATAGCCTCTTTGTTTACTAACTTATTGTGTATAATACTACCAGATTTTCTCTAACATTTAACCCCTACTCTCGTCTTAACACTACTACAAATCTTCCCCTTTTGGCTCTTCCCCCCTTTTCTTCCAATTTCTCCTCTTACATGCTTCACTTCACTTCTTGGTTACTCAGAGATAAGTTTGTTGAAATTGACCTGAAGCCGGTGTGTAAGCACTGCTATGAGCGCATGCCCGAGGAGCTGAAACGCCGCCTGGCTCGCCGTGAGCGTGATGCCAAAGAGCGCAAGAAAAGACCGGCTGTCTGTGTGTAGAGTTATGATTCTTTACAACTCACAACTCTGTCCGTTGGTTGGTGCTTTCTCCACCTCTTCCTCTGTTATTCTGTGCTGTTTCTTGCCTGGCTGCATGGCAAGATGTCTTTTGTCATGTATGATATGTGGCATGTGTTTTATAAAACATAAGTTTGGCACAATTGAGGCTTATGAATATATATATATATATATATATATATATATATATATATATATATATATATATATATATATATATATATATATATATATATATATATATATGATTTATCTGGTTCATCTTGATTTATCTGGTTAAGATTGTCTCTTTAAATAGTTTAATATATATAAAACAAAAATAAATTATAAATATCAAATTATTATACATTTTCAGAGTCCAAAATTACGTCTTTTAAAGATCTTGTTTTCTTCAATTAATATCCTAAATCCCAACAAATATTCAAAATATCTTCTTCATTTGCTTGCATTTTGGCTATTTGCATGTGTTTTTTAAGTTTCTGTGTGCTGAGCTCTCAGTCGCCGTAAGTGTTTGTAAATCTGATCTGTAGATAGACTAATCGCTTAACCTACTAGTTGTTTCAGCCATACTTCCATACTTCCATCAAGTTTCATGTTTTTATTTGAGTGAGATAATGAACTGCTGCACTAAAGTGTTGTTTAGTGTTGCTCCCTAAAAGTGTGGCCCTAATGCTAATAAGGAGACTGTGACTTGCAATACATGTAAAGCTGCAGTGATGATAATATTAAGAGAAAGATAATGCAGCTGCGAGGGAAATCAAAAAGGTAAATAAGGGCCAGAGACGAGTCATTGGTTTACATATTTAGTGCTGATGATGTCTTTCTTTTCGTTCTTTGCAGGAACAAATTTGTTGAGTTTGACATGAAGCCTGTGTGTAAAAAGTGTTATGAGAAGTTTCCTCTGGAGCTGAAGAAAAGGCTGAAGAAGCTCGCCGAGTCGTTGGGACACAAGTAATCTGCTTCGCTCAACAGCCTGCAACGCTACGACTACGCCTGAGATGGTAGAATATCCAGGAGAACTGCTGCATGACAACGCAAGGACCCGGTCTTATAAAGGTACACCAGTATTAATAATCTGGGATCCATTTAAAAAGGAAATATATATCACTGTGGTGTTGTTATAAAGGTGCCTGTTAGCAATCTTTTTTTTAACCTTTTGTTTCTTCTATATGCAAATGTTTTTATGTAACATTCCTAAATTGTCCAAATTACTTTTTCTCTTCTAGAACAGACATGTGGTGCTCTAGCTCATTTGACTTAACCATGAGCATGGGTGTTTCTCAATCGCGAGTAAAGCTGCTTCAGAGCCACTATTTCAAGCATACTACGTCATCGAGTGCCGCCGAAGTACTGTTCCAATCTCCAGTATACTTGGAAATCTACCGAGCCCGGCGTACTCCGTTTGGAGAAATATCGAGTCTGCACATGAGTAGACTTCGCGGTCTTAAAATCCCCACAATGCTTTGCGCACGGACCAATTTCCCCAAATCTGTGGCGGAAGATGTAAGGCGGGGCCTCTCATATGACGCACACCTGCACACTTGCTAGCGTGTTCCACACTTCGTTTTCCGAATGCCAGGAAGTATTCTTGACTCGCTTCTGAAGCAAGATTGCCGGCAGACATGTGCTACCAAGCAAGCGTACTCGCGATTGAGAAACACCCCATGATTACCAACTGCTATGTCTCAAATTATCTTGAATTTGAAAAAAAAGTTTTGATTGACATTATAATGATTTACACGTGTGCCTTGAATATATGAACTGTGTCTTAAAATGCGAATTACGGTTACATGTGAGTTACCTGCAGTTATTGTGATGCCTTATTATATCAATTTTAATTAGACAACGTATAATTTGAAAGCTAAATTGTACTAGCCTTTTAACCTTTGATATTTTTTTTACCTCAGTATGAATAATTACAACACAACCACTGTATTCATTAGGATGTTATAATGATGTATCCTCTTATAAAGATGAACAAAGTGTTTCAAGAAAGAGCCTTTCCCCGGAGCAAGGCTCATATACTAAACATTAAGTGTTAATTAATCCACTGGAAATAAATAAAATAAATATGAAATGGTGATGAACTGGTGCCTTTTGTCACTTTTCTATCCACCTGTCTTCTCAGCTTTGACTGGAATAATTGCTCTGTTTTTTCACAGCTCCTTAATCCCAATGTTTTGAAACATCAACAGTGAGTGGGAAGAAAATATTAGTTCAGACATTAGTAATAATTCAAATATTTTTAAAAGTAGTATATACTGTATGTTTTGAAGATGTGAGGTAGTGAAATGTTATTGCTTGTACTGTAAATGCCTCAGTTTGTGAGCCTCATATTTCTTAGCTAAATTAACGTTTGCAACTTTCCAAGGGAAATAGTTCAAAGGAATCCAAATGAAATGAACCCGTCAGCTGCTTATTTACCATGAGTACACTTTGATGTAAAAATATCATTACTGAGTCAGCACATTGCTTGGGCTGTTTGTAAACAGGCAACAATATTTAGAAAGATTAAGAAAGGCTACTGACAAAATAGTTGCTTGGATGAGCATTTTTATTTTTGGGACACTTTTTCAAATGCATTTTATTGTAAAGACTAACATTTTATTGAGTTTCATGACAGGTAAAATTACAGTTCAGTGCAGTTTACAGTAATTATATTTATTTTTTCTTAAGGATCATCAAGTATTCGAAACGTATAGTACATTTAAATCGGTCAAATACCAAATATATTTTGGCAAAATCTGTTCTGCCTCTGGAATGCAATCTTTCTGTCTATACATCACAAGGATAAACAACATAAACATACAGTTAATTGTCTATGGCATGGGAGATCATCCTCCTTATAATACACATTAATGGTTTCGAAAAAAAAATAGCTCAACACAAATTGGAATGTGTAAAAGCTGAAATCAGGTTGCAATTTTGTGCATGAAGGAGCCTCCTGTTAACCCTGCCAGTTGAATCGCCCCTAACTCTATGCTTATCTCCATGTGCATGTCATATGTTTGTGTGATAGAGGAGCAGAAAGAGAAAAATAGCACTTGTGGGGCATTATATTTTATAATGAAATTGTATTCTTATTTGTACTTATATATTTTTAGTTACAGAAAATGATTTCCAAGTAGAAAAGCAGTAGGTCTCTGTGTGTGTGTTTTCCTCATGTAAAATGTTTCACAGCTGATCCTTTGGGCCACCTATTATAGCACCATGACAGAAAAGAAACCTGACTCATAAGTCTTTCACAGCAAACGTTCTCCCTTTTTATAAAAAGAAAAGCACAGGTGTTATTTGTGACACAAACACTGGCTCCATGTTACTAAAGTGTCACAGTGTAGCCGTGAGAGTGTGACTGAACTAGCATGTACAATACCAGGACCAAGAAACAAAAGCAGCTTAATGTGATTCAGCCATCATATGTGCTTTTCATAATGTGAGATGTAGCAAAATGTAAAATGTGTCCATTATAAACACAATTGTACAATCACGTCAACTAAGGCAGATTTCTACATGATTGGACCTCTCGGTAACACTACCACTATGATTGTTGGGCTTTCTCTTCCTTAAGTTAACTGACTTTTATGTGATACTTATTTCTCATAGTTGCATGAGATTTAAAAAAAAATCTTAGGCAAGGCAAGTTGATTTATATAGCACCTTTCAGCACACGGCAACCCAAAGTGCTTTACAAAATTAAATAAAAGACATTTAAGAATAAATACAGTGGAAGCACATTATAAAAAGGCATTTAAAAAGCAAAGATAATAAAATGAACCCAACAGGTATAAAAGGATAAATACCATACTGCAGTTTGAATTTGAACAACTCATCCAAATGCAGCGTCAAAAAGTTACGTTTTTAATCTCAATTTAAAAGTATTAAGAGTTGCAGCTGACCTGCAGGATTCAGGGAGTTTGTTCCAGATGATCGGCGCATAAAAACTAAATGCTGCTTCTCCATGTTTAGTTCTGACTCTTGTAACAGAGAGCAGACCCGTCCCAGAAGACCTGAGACTCCTGGATGGTTCATACTTTTGCAGGAGATCGTTAATATAATTTGGTCCTAAACCATTTAGTGCTTTAAAAACCAGCAATAGTACTTTAAAATCAATTCTTTGGGAGACTGGAAGCCAGTGTAAAGACTTCAGAACTGGACTGATGTGATCCACTCTTTTAGTGTTTGTGAGGACTCGAGCAGCGGCGTTCTGAATCAGCTGCAGCTTTCTACGGGATTTTTTTGTGAGACCTGTGAAGACACCATTACAGTAGTCGAGTCTGCTGAAGATAAAAACATGCTTTTCTAAATCCTGTTGTGACATTAGTCTTTTAATCCTAGATATGTTCTTCAGGTGATAGTATGCAGAATTAATAACTGTTGTAATGTGACTGTTAACATTCTGAGTCCATCACTACACCTAGATTTCTAGCTTTATTCGTTGTTTTGAAGTCTGCCGACTGAAGCTCTGCGATGACTTTTAATCGTTCCTCCTTTGCTCCAAAAACAATAATCTCAGTTTTCTGTTTGTTCAATTGGAGAAAGTTCCTACTCATCCAGTCATTGATGTGCTCAATGCACTTACTCAGTGTTGTAATCGGAGAATAGTCTCCTGGTGACATTTTTAAATAAATCTGGGTGTCATCTGTATAGATATGATAACTTAGGTCATTGTTTTTCATAATTGGAGCCAGTGGTAGCATATAGATATTAAAAAGCAGAGGTCCTAAAATGGAGCCTTGAGGAACCCTGCATGTCATATTTGTCAACGCTGATGTGTAGTTGCCTAGAGAGACAATGTTTTTTCTGTCCTTTAAGTAGGAATCAAACCAATTTAGTTGCAGAAAGTCCCACCCAGTTTTATAGTCGGTCTAGCAATATGTTGTGGTCAACAGTATCAAATGCAGCACTGAGATCTAATAATACTAACACTGATATTCTGCCACTGTCTGTGTTTAAATGGATGTCATTGAAGACTTTAACAAGAACAGTCTCAGTGCTGTGGTTTGGTCGAAAGCCTGACTGGAACACATCAACACCGTCATTTAAAAGCATGAAATGACTCAGCTGTTGAAAAACAACTTTTTCAATCATTTTGCCTAAAAATGGGAAGTTTGATATTGGCTTATAATTATTCATTACGGATGTGTTTAGATTATGCTTTTTTAAGAGTGGTTTCATTACTGCAGTTTTCAGGGCATGTGGAAATACACCCGAGTGGAGAGACTTGTTTACTATGTGAAGTAGATCTGAGGCAATGCAATGAAAAACACTTTTGAAAAATCCTGTTGGAATAATATCGAGGCTGCAGGAGGAGGATTTCAGATGTTGAATAATGTCCTCCAGGTCTTTATCATTTATCAGACGGAATTGTGTCATGATGTCTGAATTGATTTTAGGTGGACACAGGGACATAATCAAGTAACACAAGCCCTTGTAGCTGAACAAAGTGAATGTAATGACTTTAAATAAACTTTAAATAAACTCCTGAACTCTGCACACGTGTTGTTACTGTAAAAAATGTTAATAAGTGTTACACATGCACATCATCATTTTATGGACACTGGATATGGATTGGAGTCTTACATGCTGCCGTTAACCAGATTTGGATTAGGCGAGTACTGATTAGGCATGTGGAAGTGAAATCCTGATGGATTGGCCTGAGGTTGAGAAGCTGTCGGGGCCATGTTCTTGTACGGTGGTCGGAGACGTGATGGTACACCCAGGAAGTGCATTCTGAATCTTGTCCATTCACCAAAGGTCATTTGTAGGAGCTCTTTGAGGTCGTCTGTATCACCAAAGAGCAGGGCTGAACCATTGAGGTTATTTCTTCTCACAATATCATTATACTTACTGTGGTAGTCCAGCCTCTCCAACTACAAAAAAGTAGAAAATGTAAGCATTATAAACATAAGAGTAAAAGGATTTAGTTTCGTAATCCTCCCTATGACTACTAAATGTATATAAACTTCCTTTTCTGTTGGATTTGCAATAGTCCAAAAAATGTTATGTTTTTGCTTCAGATATACATAATTTTCTTCTGCTGTATTTCTGATAGAGTAGCTCCACAACACGTTACACTGCACTTGCTGTTACCACCCGTGACCACATGTGTTTCCAAATCAATCCAGACTGAAAGCTTAAACATTACAACTTTTTTCTTACCTCTTTACAAACATCTTCTGTATCCATGTTGATGATGGTTGTGATTGGCAGAGGGGCTAGGTTCCTCATCCAGCCAGAATCTTTCAGCCTGGATGTCCCTCTGATGTGAGCCAGCTCCTTCCGGATTGAATGATCCAGGTTTACTGTCGAACCTTCAAAGGTCTTCAAGTCCTTTACGGTGAATTTGAAATCTACTGTGAGAAATCTTTCAAACATTTCAGGATCTCCATCCTGCTCGAGGAGGTCCTCAATCTGTGCACTCATCACATACAGCTCTGCCCTGGATTTTTGGAAGACTTTCCACAAGGTTTTTGAATCGTCAGCCTTGGGAACATTGTCAAGTTCAATATCTGCTCTCTGCTGAGCGTCTTCCACACACTGGAGGATCCAGCTGAGGCGGCAGGGCCACTGATTAGCTAAGACCACCCATGCAGCGATGTATTCTGGGTTAGGAAGCTCTTTCTGCAAGGCCTTCATGATTATCACAGTCACTCGAATGGAGTTGATCACCCTCCTCATAGACGTGGCATCCTCTAACATGTACTTGTTAAGATTCCTCTCGTTGCTGTTCAGGATGCTCCTAACCAACTTCTCTACTTCCTCGTCCTTTACATCCAGTGCTGCTGTATTTTTATCCATCAGTGGATATGACTCTTGCGTTTCAATGGCCAACTCCACTGAGAATACATCTGAGGAAGACTTTTCTTTTAGAGCCACAGTTCCTTGCTTATATTTGCTCATGCTTAAGTCATCAGGGGATTTTGAATTGCTAGTGAGGCTGTAAAATAAACTGCGCTTTGAGTCATCGCCCAGTGGTGGGACTGTAAAGGCCAGAGTCACAATTCCGTTCAACAATGCATAAGCTCTGTCTTGTTTGCTGAAGCAACCATCTGCAAAGTTCACTTTCTGTACAAGAACATCTGGATCTACAGACAGAATGGAAATATATGGACTTTCCTCATCTGAAAGCAGAATGTTAATGGCATCCAAAACTGCAACAATCTTCTTTGGGGAGCAGCGGTCGAGATTGGTGATCTTCAGTACCACTCGGATCCTCCTTCTCTCAAACACCTCCATAAACTGGATGAATTGAGACAGAAACCACATTTCTTTCCTGACGTCGTTCATGAAGCCAAGTTGGCTGCTGACTCGCTCATTGTCCATTCCCTTCCTAATGTTCAGATCCTGGCTGAAGATGAGGTTCTTAACCATCTGAACGACAAACCTCAAAGCGCTTACTGCAGGGAGTCCAATGGAAGCGATGATCAGGCCCTCAAACACTCCCACATAGCTTGTGTTTGTTCCATTCACTGCTCCACCTGGTTTCATCTCAGGATTGGGAAGACCAAAAGTCAACATGAAAACCAGGATTAAAAGTGGTACCATGAGGATGGACAGGAGGAGAAACCACAGAGGGCAGCAGCAAACCTTTTTGGACCTCCAATGGTTGAGACCATCCTCCACACTCTAATTTTTTTTAATAAAAAACAAACAAGATAGAAAAATCAGACACAGTTAGACGTTACTGTAGTGTGTTTAGTCAGGCTAGTGGCATGGCTAGATGGCTAGTTCTTTCAAGTGAATAGCCTCACACTTTTAGACAAGTTTGCTATAAATTGTTGTGCATTCATTTACATTGCCTATATTAGCACTACCATTAACCTTTAGCTGCATGTCTTAAGCGCTGATTAGCACATGTTAACATGTTAGTTAAAATCCTAAACCGAGAAGGTTAGCATTAAGAACCGCTAGTACAACTGTACCCTCTTTGTGTAATAACCTAGAGAAGTGAAAATAAATTCCCAAACCTTATTCTGGACTTCCATTTCTTCATCATATTGAGCCACACGATAGAGTACAATCTGTAATTTCCCAAAGCTCATCTGCATGGCCTGAAACAGCCGTATGGCTAGCCCGGCCCACAGCAGGTCACTGCCTGCAAAATGCCACGCACTAAAATGTACATAAATGAATCTGACGTTATGGTGCTGCTGATTGTCCTCTGTCCAAATGGGTCTGTAGAAGAGCATTCTTCCAATGAGAGCTAGAAAACCGCCAATTGATGGGCTAGCTGAGCGAGGCCGGAACCTTCCTTTGTATTCCTGCTCAATCCTCGACGCTTCCTGCTTCATGTACACTGAAGAGTCACAAAACATAGATAATATTATTATATAAGATACATTGTTTATGCTTTTTGGGTACATATATATATATAAACCTATAATTCAAAGCAGAGTGAAACACTGAGATGTAGGTAAAACACCATGCTGGGTAATGGCTTGGACTTAAACAGGATATAAATAGAAGTTAAGTGGAATATTATAGCCATAACTTTGGTACTTAGACTTATTTAGCTTGCACCAACTCTGGCCATGGTGCTAGACCTGAAACCAAAATAATCAGTCTGCAGGAAAACTAATGGTATGCAAAAGATTGTGCTTTTCAATCTGTAATTCCAATGTAGAGCCATTGAAAACCATATTTATTAATCGGTTTTAAATCCTTTCAAAGCGTTATATTTGTATCAACAAGTCCTCCAACTCATACGACCAAATAGGTTGATTGTTCAACAGCTTATTACGACCTATAGTCACGTTTTAAAGTTTAGCACCTCTAGTGGTTGTGTAAGAAACAACAATTTGCAGCATATCGGCCAACCCAGTCTCACGGCATTTCGTGTAATAGTCACGAAATAAATGTAATCTATTGATTCGTGTTCACCAACACGATTTTCCCATTTCTTTCGTGTCACACAGAACGATTTTAAAAACAATGTATTTCTATTGGTAGTATGTTTCGTGCCTGCACCACGTCTTTTTGTCCGGTCGGGTCTTGGAAGACCGGAAGCTGTGTGGTTCATAAAAACATTTTCTTACTCAATATCAAGCCACGATTATTGTTTTTATTTTAAATTGTATAATGTCGGACTTTCTTTTGCCGTCCGCGAGGAAAATAAATGGGGCTCAGAGCCTCAGAATACTAAAATCTGTATTCTTTAAATCTTTTTTTCCTTCTAATTTGTTATTATTTACATTGCTTTTAAAATCGTTCTGTGTGACACGAAAAAAATTGGGAAATCGTGTTGGTGAACACGAATCAATAGATTAATTTCGTGATTATAACACGAAATGCCGTGAGACTGGGTTGTATGGGCTGATGCTCCCGTTGACTGCAAACGCTCCGGAGGGTCGTTATTCACAAATAACCCTCTCTGGAAAATCCTAAATTGTAGGATAGTTTGGCCATTAAAATGCTTTTTGATTAGATTTCTAGCGAGAAGTGTATATTGTACTCTTAGAATCTACGTCCAGTGGATGTGTAGGATCTATAGTTTGATAGATATTACGAAGATTATTTGAGGTCAGGAGGACGTATACGTCTTTCCCCCTATTCATTTCTATTGACGGCAGCGTCCATGTAAAGTTAGCGTCAACCCTCACGGGGTGAAAACAGTATTTCTGGTCTCGAAGTTTTCATAGTAAAACCGTATTCCCCTCACTGTCAAATGATTTTACAGTGATATCTGCAGTACTCATCAGCTAAAAAACATCAGTTTATCCTTCTTAATTACACAACATTAATTGATTTAAATTGTGTGCAATGCTTTTGTGTTTTTCCCTTTCAATTCTGAGAGACACATTTCTTTTTTCAGAGGTTTTGATTGGCGAAAATATCTAACTACCCTTAATCCTCAGCTATCGTTGAAGTTCCATGAAGTTTTGATTGAATTATTTTCCCCCCTTTATTATCTACATTTAATGTCCCATAATGACAAGGTAAAAATGGGATTTTAGGAATGTTTGCAAATTTATCAAAAATATGAAATATCCCAAATAAGTATTCAACCTTTCGGTATTTGAAATTTAGCAAAGGTGCCCCTCATTTGTCTTGATCATCTGTGAGTTCTTTCCAAACTTTGATTGGAGTCCTCCTGTGGTAAATTCAGTTGAATCAACATGACAATATTGTGTCCAAGCACAGTTATGGGAAAAGCATGGAAAATTGAAATGGACTGTATTGGAAGTTTCCAAGAGCACAGCCTATAAAGACTTTAGCACGGTGACCGTGTTTGCGTGTTCTAGCATTATACTAGGTGACGTCTTAAGCTCTGTTACATTTCTAAGGTGGCCAGCCCAAGTCTTTGTGTGGGAAACACTGGTGTAGAATCATTGATAAATAATTTTTTAGCATAAAGCTGAAACACACATTTTTTTGAAAAAGTTAAGGGGTGCTAACACTTTCTGAATGCACGGTTGTTTTTGATTTATTTTGCTGTCTACAGTGTTTCGGAGAATAATGGTATGTGTACTGAACACAAAGATCCCCCAGAGGCCTACGGAGCAGAATTACAATGTCTACTTTCCAGTCAGTCAGTTGTGAAAAAATCATTTAACTATGAGCCGGCGCTGAGGTGGTGCACAGCCCATTCATATGCCAAGAAGTGCCTCAGTGATTTTTATCACTGCAGGGGCTATGTCAGTGCAAAAGAATAAACATTAGGTTTATTCTGCCACAGCATTTAATTAGCATGTGCAGTTTTTACAGTCAACATATACCGTTGTTTCAAAAACTTCAGTCATCATTACAGTGTACTTTGTGGTGTCAGTAAAAAACAAAAAACGGTCTGTTTGCATGCAAACGGTTGAAGTTGTAGGTTTGATGCCAACCTATTCGTTTCGAGATAAGATCCTAAAACTTATATTTGTTCTGTTATGTACATTTGTTGAAAACTAATGCACTTCACTACTCTTTGCACTTGGATGCAAACTGCATTTTGTTGTACTCGGTGCAATGACATTAAAGTTGAATCTAATCTAATATGAGGTTCCTATAGACTTTAGACACTGCCTGAGTGCTCAAAGTTTTCATTTAAAGATGTAAGCAGTCAAAAGAAACGACATGCTGGTACACCGAGAGTGTTAACATACCTTCCATTTGTCCGAGGATCATGTTAAGTCGATTCTGACATGAAGAGTAGAGTCCTACAGTGGCAGGTGATGAAACTTTTGTCAAGGTCTTCGACAATGCATATGCATATATATCATCTGAAAAGAAATTTGGGACACAACATGGATAACTCATTTAATATTTAATTTTACATTCTGAAAAACATTAGTTAATATCTTTAACCACAGTCTTCTAATAGCAAAAACATAACATACAATCAATAGCTCAATAGATATTTCACAGATTTAATCTGAGAAAATGCTCAAAGGACTAATCTTTACTGACATCGTTCTTGGTTAAGAACATTTCTGCTCAATAATGTTGAACTGAACTGAAATTACAGGTATACTCTGTAGTACATAACACGTGTTCATTTAGGAATTTATATGGTGAGCTTATTCATGCATATTGAAGGAGTGTCTAACCAGAAATACATGCTCTGTGCTGTGCATTCTTTGCTACTTGATTAATGACAACAATTAAGAAAAACAAGTCATAAAGAAGGTGTTTCAAGATGAAATACTGCTGGATAAATGATGAAAAAAACACATGAGGGAAAACAGGACCCTGCATTAATGAGCTGCTCATCCCTGGTTTAGATATTTTTGGCGTTCAAACTCATTCATACATTCATTCTTATATTCATTCATTCATAAACTGCAAACAACTCACCTTTTGTTGGATTATACATGATTACTGTGTGGTGCTTGGATGTTCAGCTTTCAGATAAGTCCCCTCAACCTGCGAAGAATGAAAAACATAAGGAACTCAATGCAGACTGTGGAGTTGTGTGTGTGTTTCTGTTGGTGTGTTCTCCGTTTGGTAACAGGTCCCTCCTGTTACCAAGCCGATTTAGCTTTTATTCATTTCTGGAGGATACCAAAACATATCTCTTACTAGTAAGAATGCGAGTTCTTGATATCAAAAATGCAATTCTTACTAGTAATAATGTTTATTTCTGATATCAAAAATAGAATTTTAACTAGTTAGAATGCAAATTCTTGATATCAGAAATTCAATTGTAACTAGTTGTAATGTGTATTTCTGATATCAGAAATGTGATTTTAACTAGTGAGATTTGCATCGTTTTTCTCATTCATTTCAATGGGAGTTGGAATTTGAACTAGTTCAAATGCCAATTTCTGATATCAGTAATTTATTTGTTACTAGTTACAATTACATTTGAACTAGTAAAAATACCAATTTCTGATATCAGTAATTTATTTGTTACTAGTTACAATTACATTTGAACTAGTAAAAATACCAATTTCTGATATCAAGAATTCAATTTCAACAAGTCGAAATGCCAATTGTTGATATCAGAAATACAATTTGAACTAATTCAAAATCCTTTTTTTGATATCAGGAATTCAATTGTAACTAGATATAAATAAAAATTGAATTATAACTCGTAACAATTGAATTCCTGATATCAAAAAAGGATTTTGAACTAGTTCAAATTGTATTTCTGATATCAACAATTGGCATTTCGACTAGTTGAAATTGAATTCCTGATATTAAAAAAAGGATTTTGAACTAGTTCAAATTGTATTTCTGATGTCAACAATTGAATTACTGATATCAGAAATTGGCATTTGAACTAGTTCAAATTCCAACTCCCATTGAAATGAATGAGAAAAACGATGCAAATCTCACTAGTTAAAATCACATTTCTGATATCAAGAATACACATTCTAACTAGTTAAAATTCAATTTTTGATATCAGAAATAAACATTATTACTAGTAAGAATTGATTTTTTGATATCCTCCAGAAATGAATAAAAGCTAAATCGGCTTGCCATACTCCTCGCTGTATATAATGCCTGATTAAACAATGGTGCTCTCAGTCATCAGTGAGAGGAGCTCCCATGCAAAATCCCAGTCATTTTGACAACCCTTGTGTTGTTTAAGCACACTCAGTTTAACTTCGGGATTGAGTGAGAAAGATCTGTTTGTTCATGTACTTAACACCTCTACAACTACATTGAAAACACCACAAGTGGAGTAAATGTCCTTGAGAGTGCTTAAGCAGCAGAAATAGCCATTTTCAACCCACATGTTATTTTTTCCTTTTGTTCTGAGTGTTGATTGACAGGCACTACAGTGAGTTGTTTTATGGGTATGATCTCTCCGTGAATGCAGGCTGTTCTTTTTTATGTGCGAAAATGTCAACAGTCAGGCTGAGTCAATGATTACCTTGCATTGCCTAGTTCTTTTCCCTGCTGGCAACATATTTTCTCTCCTTGTTTCTTGTCTGCACATGCCTAATGTACACAGTGGCCCCCAACCCCCGGTACGCAGCCGGTATTTTGGTCTATTAGACTCTAACAGACTAAAATAAATCTTAAAGATATGTTTAGAGAAAATATAGGCTTTGCTTTGAATGTACGTGTGATATAAATGTTAACAAACAATACAATATTATTGTAAACCATAACACTTTAATTATGTTCTAAGCACCCATTAGATAATAACTGATATGGCAGAAATGTGTTAAAGGAGAGGTGTCATGGCCATTTCCACTGATCATAATTCCATTGTTGAGGTATACTAGAATATATTTATACTGTGCATTTTTTCAAACTCACATTGGTTTCTCATACAGCATCTCTGTAAACTACTTGTATTCACTGCATTTCACTCTCTGCCTTTAACGGCTCGTTGTAGCTCCAAAAGCTCCAGCCCCCACCCTCCCTGTGAGCACAGTGTGCTCTGATTGGTCGGGACGTTGTGAATCGCGCTGAGCTCCGTGGAGGTGTTGTTTCCTTGTTTAGCATACATAGCGAAACACAGCCAAACTCATCCTGAGCACACACAAAGTCACAGTCGAAGTAAAAACAATAAGTGTGGCTTGATATTGAGTAAGAAAAAGGTTGATAAACGCTGTGAGAATGGGTCTGCAGAGAGAATTTTGCCGCGATCCCAACTGTCTGTTATCAGCCTGCAGCCAGGGAGGAGAAATCAGCAGAGCTGCCTGTGTGTGAGGAAGTCCGTGGATTGGTCAATTTGGACCAATCAGCGGGGGCTTAGCGTAACGGCTCCGCGGACGTAACGTAACGGCTCCACGGATTGGTCCATTTCGTTCCGGGTACGGGATTACATCATCCCGTACCCGGAAGAATCAAATGGACAATAGCCGCGTTCACACCGGAGTACTTTTCACCGTACTTTTCACGTTTAGTTCCGTTAGTACCCCTTATGTCGCGTTCACACCAAAAAGAGCACTTAATCTCGGGAACTTTTACCCCCATTTTTAGTGCCTGCTGAGAGATGGTACTTTCCTGGGGGAAAAAAGTGCCCCAGTTCTGATTGGCTGGGCGAATTGTAAACCACGCCCCGTACAACTCTGAAATGTTTTGTAGAGCCACCATTTTATTATCCTGGCATTAGCATTATTAGCATTAGCATTCGCCCAGTGCACAAACGCAGAGAGACTAACTTATGGCAACACAAAATAAAACATGTCCTGAGGAGGTGTCGGCGTTCTGGCGATTTACTCGGAAGGCTTCAGTAGCAGCTGGGAGTCCCAGCAGCTTCTACTGAAGCCAGTCCCCAACTCCGGGGACTTCCGGCCGGGGACTCCGGGTGGCAGTATACGCCGTGAAGTTGTTTGCGGCCTGCCAGTAAACCCAAAGCAGAAGAAGACGAAGTGACGTCAGCAGCTCATTTGCGTAATCTTCCCTCAGGGAAAAGTACTCCGGTGTGAACGCGATTTGTACTAAATGCCCTGGGGTAATAAGTGCCGGGGCACTGAGTGCCGGCACTAAATACAGCAAAGTACTTGGTGTGAACGCGCCTAATGACGTATCTCCAACTAGGCGTTTTGGGGAGGTATTTTCTGTGTTAGAGTTTTACTCGCTACAGGGTGTACTTTGAGGGTTTTGACTCTGCACACCGTTTACATGCATAAAAACCTTCATAACACACAAGGGGACGGGTAATAACCGGAAAAGCATGACACCTCTCCTTTAATAATGAAACAAGCTTACCTGTTTATGTTCCAAATGTCAGTCCTGATCTTTACTTGGACTCTTAACATATCCAGAAAGAGGAAAGGACCATGCAGCTAAGGTGTGTTGAACCTTAAACCCACATGACGTGAGTGCTGTAAAACTTTACAACACTGATAACAGAAGGAAAGAAAAGGCAACTGGTAACCACAGGCAACGTCTTTGGGACTGATATTTACCAGGAAGTGAGGTCACAATCTTTTTGTCCATTCTCCTTTTCCAATCTGTAACACCATACTACTCCTGCTGCTCCCAATTTTCTCCCTATTCATATCATCTGAGTGAAGTGGGTAGTTCCTGAAAGCATTACAAGGTACAAAAATCCCCATTTTCTTGATAGCTTCTGGCATATCCAAGTTTTTAACTTCTTGCAAAAATGTAACAAATTGCCATGCCGGAGCCTAGGTCTGCATGTTTCCTGAACTGAATTCCTAGTTTGAAGCCCCTCCGGTTGGGAATGGCTGGATTCCTCTTCCTGAACTGACATGCAAAGTGTTTAAGATGCCCAGAGCAGTATTTGTTATGACATAACTGGTTAGTCAAGCTTTGACGAACAAGCTCGAAGCCTGATTTCCCTTGGCTTGATTTGTTTAGTTTCTTGCATTAGCTTTACCATCTGGTGTCGCAGTATACACAAGACAGGTCCTTCAAAACCAACTACGAATAAACTGTGTATGTAAATAATGTCAAGTTGACTAATTTAATACATAATGTTCCAATGTTATATTTAAAACATTATTTTGTTGAAGGTTGAAATTAAAACAAAAAACATTTCTATTAAAATTGTCATTTATTAAAAGATGGCTCCAAATGTATTTAAACATATATCTATATAATAAGTATTGATTTATATTAACAGAGAGCTTTGTGTGCACAGTTAGAGACGGATACACCATAGAGACAATCATGCATGGGATATTTTAAAGTTGTTAACATACATGCATCAAATGCACATTGGTGTCAATACGTAAACAACCTCACACATAAGCACCAGAGAGCAAAATACTCCGTTTTTAGGTGATATTGATGAAATGAAGTTTAATTAGTGTATGTCTGATTAAGATTTGAAGTGCTCGGCTTGAGGGTGACTAATTCTGCCTTTACTCAGAGTACCTGATTGTTCAACTACTTTAATTAACTTGATTGTCATAGAGAGAGTGGGGGTGTGTGAGTGTGTGGTTGTGAGGGTGTGTGTGAGAGAAAGAGGTTCTCAGTTATTACTTGGCCAGGAGTCTTTTGCAAACCAATACTGATTTAATTGGATTGTATCTCCCCTTCTGTGAACCCTCACACCACATCTCGATCTTTCACCACATAAACCTTGCAGTTAAGTTAATGAATTCACCTTCATGATTAATCCAAGATAGGTATCAGACAGAGATAAATTGTATTCAGAATTGGACGGACTTGGAGGGATTTTTTGCTCGAGGCAAGGGGAAATTAAACTAATATTGTAATATGTTAGGTTCAGGAAAACGCAATTTTTTTTTCTGTCAGAAGCTAGTTGAAATTGTTTGCACTTAGGGTCACTTGCATCAACTGTGATTCAGGAACAAGTCAAAAGATATTTAGAAAAGAAAGTGTTGTAATTTAACACACCAACAGAGGGCGCTAAAGTATTGTGCATGAAAGCTGCACAATGACATTTGATCAGCACCCTTCATCACACCTCTCTGCTCTGTTTGGTATGTAGGAGCAGACCCGACAGTGAAGGAGGCATTTACTGAAAATGGGGAGCGGTCAAGAGCTTAAGATGTGCTAGAACTTCTATTGGATGGGCTGATGATCTTTAATTTAAATCAGAAGCTGCAGAGCACACACAGAAACACACAAGCACACACACATTCACGTATATATCTATCCAATTTTATTCCTTATCCATTGTTCCTGAAGGCAGACAAGCCTCAGTATTGACACGCCTGACACCGGCTTGCCAGGCCTAATTGGCCTCAAGACCTCTTGTTGGTGTGATCTATTGATCAGTCTCTCTGCAGATTGTGCTAAGTCACAGGGAGAGGACAGAGAAATAGCCAGAGATACAGAGAGTAACGCTGCTAAATCTGGGCATGATGTTTTAAGCTTTGCTGCTCCCTCGGCAGACCTGCGCTGCAAGCAAGGATGATGATAGGGTCTTCACCCTGAGGCACAGGGGTCCAGATCCCTGCCACAAGCTGATTCACACACACCAATTGTCTTTTATTGTCACCAAGGGATGATGGCACCAACAAATGGAGGTTTCTGAATGCTGTCACCTCCAAAGATCTATAGACACTGTCTGCTTTAACAATCCCACCAGAGACAGCGAGATGAAAACTCCTGCACACGCGCAAAATCCACTTTTGCTTGATACCTCTGTGGCAGATATTAAGAGAAAAAAAAGGCATGAGATTGCCACCGAAGAGCCCTGCGGGGGCAGGGGTGAGTGGAATGGTATGCATGCTGATCTTGTATCTATCAGCACAAACATCCCATACATGATTCTTTTTGCCAGCACCTTCAACCTCCTTTCCATTCACATTCAGATCCCAGATCACATCATCTTATTTCCATCTATTTCCATTTCGTCCTCTTCTCCTCATCCTCATCCCTTCTCAAGCAGTACAGCCATTTCAATGGAAATAGTGTCTTTGCTTATCCGGTTCTTAATGCTACTTTTTTATTCTATACAGCCTTCCCTCAAATCCCAGAAAAACTCATAAGAGAAACGTGTATGTTTATGAGGCCTGCCACACAATATGTCCTTCGCTACCTCGTAAAAGGCAATACATTCTCCTTTATGAGGCGCACACATTTCCTATTCTCTTCTGCGTGTGAGGGCTACATTCCCATATGGTATTACATTTATGATGCATGACAAGGCTTACAATTCTCCATCTCCTCTGCAGCATGCTGCGAGTGGAGCTGTCCAAAAGTCATGGCTGTGACAACGGGGATCATTATACATTTTTCTTTCTGTGCGGCTGCCTCTTTGTATTCCTCTCCACGCTCCCATGAAATCTGTCTTTATCCCACCGTGTGAGAGTATAGCTACCAGGTTCACAACGAGCTCCTCTCCGGGTGGTGGTGTTGGAACGAGTGCCCACTCTTGGACCTTTCACCCAACCTTACACGCATGTGTGCACATATTCACTCCAACCCGCTGATCCTGCCTCGTGTTTTATTGTCAATATCAGTCGGTTGAGGGGTTGATGGCTGTTGACAGGGGTTGGATTGTTGAGGTGAAGATGATGGAAGCACTTGCAGAGATAGAAAAGCTGAGGTTGAGACCCCTTGGAGGGTGTTATTAGGCTGTTATGAAATCTGATCCTTATCAGACCTTCACTGAAGCACGGGGGGTGTATCAGTATAGCCAGATGCAAGTGTTGAGTCTCTGCCTTCCTCCTATAGATCCCCTCTTAACTCCCACTCTCCTTCCTTCCTTACTCAAACACACACATTTCTCTAAACCACCTGTATCTGTGTTTTACAGTCAACACTGCCTGCAGTCTTGCTCTGCATGCGAACGATGGAATTGCTTTATCATATGAGAAAGGACACTAATCTTATTTGTATTTCATGAGCATAATACACCTCAAGGCATGCAGCATACTCTGCATCATGACACCAAAACCTGCTGTTAGCTCGCTTCAAAGCTCTAACAAGATACCTGAGCGCTCACTGATCATTTCTGTATCAGAGAGAAAACTGCTGTAAAAAGCATTATGTTTCCGGGTTTGAAACAAACAAATATAAAAAAAGGTGAACCTGCAACCACGTACTGTACACGATGCTGAGGAACATGTGCGTGACGATTCAGTTTGAAGGACATATTGTCAAGTGGGGCTGCAACAATTATTTCCTTGTGAATAATCTGCTCAATTTGCTCATTCAAAAAATAGTGTCCATATTTATGTTTTTTGTAACGCAACCTTTTTACTCTATTTGTTCATACCGAATTTTGGATTTTATCGGTCCTCAGTTCTGTAGGACTACTTCCTTTGTCCAGACTAAAATATCAATGCATTGCGATTAAGTTTTTAATACATTTATTTAGCGCCACCATTGGTTTGACAATAGAATAGATTGCATTGAAATATGGTGCAGATATTCATGACCTCTCAGAATAAACTATAATCTTCTAACTTTGATTATCACTTTTCCTGTAGCGCCATCATCCGATAAAAAAATCTGAATTTTTACAATAATACGTTTTTTTTTTATCAAATACCTGCCAACTAATGAGATTTTTTCATTTTGTTTAGTACACATAAGAGAAGCAACACACTAAACTAAGAGAGTGAACATTGAACGTGCTGAGCATGTAAGCATTGCCTTTGAGCTAATGTTAGCAAGCTAACATTAGCTCAAACCACCTCTGTGACAAAGTACAGCCTTAGAAAGCTGCCAGCATTGCTGTTAGTTATAAGTCTTATTTACATCTATAGAGAAGTTCAGTACGTATAAGTCCAAATGTGATTGCCTCTGATGTAAACAGCGTACGTGTGAAGATCTAGCTTCTCAAACAACTTCAAGAGGTGGTGAGAGACACGTTGGACAAGCTAAATTGAAAATGCGAAATTCATGCATAAACAGAAAAAACACAACATGTTTTTTTTTGTATTAGCCAACTTTGCAATACAAATATTTACAGGGATTTCCATGTGTGATTAGTAACTTGTAAATGACCAGCTTGACCGTACAGTGTGTTCCTGACAAAGACAAATATGTTAGAGTAACATATTTGCATTAGGTGTCAGGGTGTAAATTACATAAATTTAAATTAAAAAATGTCCATGTGCCTGAAGATCGGTTTGGTCTGGCCTGACGTCAACCTATTATCATACAACATGACCAACGATAACACAGCAAATAGAACTCTTCAGACGCAGTGTCAACAAAGGGACCAAAGCTACACACACACACACACACACACACACACACACACACACACACACACACACACACACACACACACACACACACACACACACACACACACACACACACACACACACACACACACACACACACACACATTGTTGTAGCTGATGTTGCATTTCAGAGTTTGTTAAGTTTACAAGATCATAATTTCAAGGTTTGGAACGTGTTATTCATTTGCTTTTTCTTAAAAAGTGTTCCTTTTAGATTAACATAGTGGCAACTTTATAACTAATCCATATTAAAAGTGGTACCGGTCACA